TCCTTTTTCTGCCAGTGGTGGTCGAACTATCTGGATGGGCCTCCCTCCACCAAGCTAGATGACTGATTTCGATACGCCACCCGCATTCGCCCTCTCGCCTGAACAACCTGTTAATTCTGCGAATCTGCTCCGTAGCAGCGATTGGCGCGTAGTCACTCGGGGCAAAAAATTCTCGTTCAGCATCGCCTCGAAGTGCGGGACTTAGTCAAGAGAAGAAGTATTTTGATTCTCGAAGACGAGAAACATCCCAGCCACCCTTCTTAGGGATTTGAGGAAACTCCAAAGGCAACCAAACCTGAATCGTGCTTTTGTCGGCAGCAATGCGAGAGGGTGGTTTCTTCTTCCCATGGAGGCCTCCACTCTGAGGATCTTTTGCAAGATCCTCTGCATCGTTTTCAACAAGATGCATGGTTGATTCGGTGGTGGTGCAAGGCTCTGCTATCCCATCCAGAACATCGTCTCTGATCTCCGTTTGCCGTTCTGCCGATTCTTTTTCTTTTGTCTCACCGAGTAATTGGAGCCGGAAAGAATGGAGTGCCTTCGGATCCTGGTTCGCGAGCCATATGCTGGTGGGTGTCTCCATCTCTTCACCCTCTTTCCTTTGCTTGGGGTCTTCGCTCTTTAGCAACTCTTGCCGTTTGGCCTCTAGTGCAACTTCTTCAAATGAAGCATCCGCTCGGGCCGACCAACTGACTCTTGTGGCTTGTCCTCCAGTTTTTCGGTTTTCCATCCTCCATTTGATTATCTTCCGTCCAGCCTCTGAATGGTTGACAACAGTAGCGCGATACATCGCCCCTGCATAGCGTGCGGAGAACTCTGCAGCAAGACGAGCGATGATGTCCTCACTATGCATGCGTACAAACGCATCGCGAAGGATTATGTTCAGATTTGGGATATCAGATGCGTGTGTCCAGAAACTGTCATGTACAGCCGCAAAATCGAGACCCATTTCGTTGGCTTTCAACGCTGACAGCGTCATGTGCGTGGCATCCAGAGAATGAATAAAGTTGGGAGGAAATGCTTGCAGTTGTTTACGCTTGTCAACCTCGTCCTGCTGTGATTTCTTTGCGACGGTGATATCCTGAATCTTAGTCCTGATTTTTTGGACGGTATCTTTTCTGTACGGCTGCACAATGGGCATCTTGAGAGGGGACGTCCAAATGATGCTGGTCTTAAACTTCTCCATATTCTTGTTTAGCTTGCTGATCTGGAGCGTAGTGACCTTTTTGGGGGCAGCAAACTTCGGGTCATATAGCACTACCGCAGGATCCATTCCCTCAAATCGTTCCTGAATCCGTTTGATTTGTTCAGCAGAGATCGATGTTGTGATACGATCACCGCATTCGCCCAGCCAGTATTGGATTTCTTGTGCGCCGTTGAAAATCTTGCCCAGTGCTTCGAAAATCCTTTGTGCAACGTACAAAGCAACAACTCCGAGTGACTTCACCTTGTCCGTAGGCTGAAAATGGGGGAAAAGATTGCGAAGCTCATCTTGAACCTGTTGCTTCGCTCCCATGAACGTAACACCATACACATTGGTCATGACCGTCCGTTTGACGACCTTTCGAGAAATGTGTCCATCTATGAAGTTCGCAACAGGTAAGCCTTTGCTGGCATCCTTAGCAACCATTTCTTTCACGAGCTCCGCAACACCGGTGTAGATGTCCTGAGGTCTATCCGAAGGCTCAAGGTTGACTTGGCGAGCGCCAGCGTGGTCGCCGCCCAAGGCCGCGTAATGCTGCAGTCCATTGCAGGTTCCATCCTGATGAACAGGTAGTTGTGATACAAAGCGGGTCGGATCAGGTAGGTCGAAAGCGTTCTTTAACTCAATGCAGCATGCTAAGCATTGCCACGGATCTTCGGCCTTGGTCCACCATCGCTGTCCCTCTAGGGGCTGACTCGCAGAATCGCAAATCTCGCTCATGTGGTCCATGGCGAACTGCTCACGTTCTCGCAAACTTGCCTTGTCGAAACCGTACAAGTTGGCAAGATGGATCTTTAGCCACTGCAAGCCAACAGCACCAAGCTCTTTGCCATGTGCAAACTTAAGAAGACCTCTTGAGAGATCTGAGCCAATGTGGTTAAGGATAGGTGGTATTGGGTACGCTCGGCCTCGGAAATCCACACTGTGAGGAAAGTAGATCTTTTTCTCGTTGGCATACGCTCGGGCAGTCTCAAGCTGGAAGTTTTGAAAGCATCTTTGGGAATGAAGGCCACTAATTGTGTCTTCATACTCCTGAAGGGCTTTGTTCCATCGTGATCGTTCTTGGAATGAAGCTTCCGCAGAAGGTTCAGAGGGGCGCTTGAGACTTGTGATGGCGTCCTCACCAACTAAAGATCCAATGCTCTCACCAGCGTTCCAAGCACGAGCCATCACATCGAAGACAGGAGCGTTGATCTGCCAGGGAACTTTTCCTAGAACATCAAGGCCGGCCATTACTTTGGACATGTCACCGTTTTCTATGGCCAGCTTAGCATACGCCCGCTGGGCAGCATCACCACCTTTTTGACGAACAATTTTCTGTGGCACAGTATAGTATCCACCATCTTCAAAACTTGACCACGGCTTTGGTTCAACTACCATCGGCAGCCGGACCGTTTGAATGCTATGAACAGAGTCTGTACGCATCTTGGCCATGAGCTCGTGATGTGGCACTAGGAAACCGAGCTTTTTGCCTTGATGGAATCCAACCTGGTGATGAAAAGCAGCCATGCTACGAGAGACTGATTTGCCGGTTCTCGGGTCTTTCGCCGTCACCACAAGAGTTGCTGACTGAAGTAACTGTTCGATGCACATAGCACCAAGCTTTGTCCGAGCCGAGATAGGCATGTTGACCTTCTCAAACTCAAACATGTTACTCTTCACCTTTTGGGTTTCTTTTTCCGTGGATGATGTCGAACCTGATTTGGCAAGCGTGCTGACCAAGTTTAAGCGGGTTTGTTTACGCTGCTTTTTGAGAAAAGTGTCTCGGCGAGTTTGGGTTTCGGCATTGAGGTAGTCCTCAATGTCGTTACCCACGGCAATTGACAAGGCCGATATCTTGAGAGCAGAACTGTCTTCTCCTTTTCCTTTTACCGCAGATTGAGTGGCACGGGCAACTGTGATAGCCGCTAATTTCTCGGGCTTGCATCGCTCTAGCCAAACTCCATATGTGTGGGCGTCGTCTCGCGTTGTGGCTTTTGGAGGTTCTAACAAAACTTGCTTGGCATGCTCAATGCGCTTCTTGAACAATGGTATTAGGGCGGTGTACCAGCTATACATCATGGCTTGAATAGGCTTTGTGTTCATGACGCCATGAATGCCAATTTCCTGCAGTTTCTCGTCCTCAGCTTTCCATCTCTTGACAGCGGCTTCCATACCATCCTGCTCCATCTGAATCTGTCGTGCGTATGCGTATGCTTGATCCTTCTCCTCTTGCGTGCCCTCCATGTCGTGTGGGTAGGGGACACAGTCTCCATGATCGAAGACATTGAGTGCCTGTTTCAGCGAGTCTAAACCCATGCCTTTCTGCTTGACAGGCTTGATTTCCTGTGCAGGATGTGGTACTAGGCCGTGGGCGATAAGATTGGTGCGGCCGTCTGGTGTGCTGACATGGAGATGTTGAACCTGCTCAACCGTCGGAGGCTCGTTGAATGACTCGGGCTGTAGACGAATCAAAAGATCCCACTCTTCGTCGGAAAAGTCGGGTGAAGCATTAATGCTGTCAACAACATGCTCACCGTACTCGCGCGCAGTGGCAATGTGTGCTCGAACAGCATCCTCTGCGGCGCTGTCGTCGAGGAAGTGCATTGCGGAACGTATGAGAGTGACGAATGTCTGGGCACTGGGTTGAACGCCCTGGCGCAGCATCTTGGCTTTGTACCAAGTCTGTATCTTTTTCATTGCCGAGGATTTGTCTTCGTATTGGCCCAAGTCCAAGAGGGTCTGGAGGTAGACGTTGTGTGCGTCAATCACTTCGGGTGCATCTGGTCTGTATATAGTCATGAGTCGGTTGACAATTACAGCGGCACGATCCACACGACCGACCCGTAGACAGGCATATAGGTTTTGGTGTAGCTCGGTAGGGTCGCTCCCGACACCGGGAACGGCTCGAAGTTGTGGCATCGAAGCCAGTGAATCGTGAACGACAAGGGGTTCGGTAGAATCCCATAGCGGTAGGCGGGAGAGGTCTGCGTGGGGTGGATGACGGCCAAAGGCTTGGGTGAAAGGATTGAAGGAAAGCGAGGAGGGCGGCGGGGGCTGCAATTCTGCCGTCGTAGCGAGCGAGCGTGTGTCGTGACGAACTGCCGCAGGAAGGGCAGCAGATATTGAGGAAGAGAGGGGGAGGGACAGTGACGAGCGACGTTGTCGACGTCGTGTTGTCGAGTCGTGTGCGCTGCGTCTTGCAGCCATCGAAGGCGTCTGCGAATGCGCTCGTGACAGTGCGGGACACAACCATGGCAGCGTCAGTTGGTCGGAAAGAGTCGTGGGCGTCCTAAAGGCATCTCTGCGCAATTTGCGTCCCGCTGCCCGCGTAAGCATCGTGCCCAATGCCTACTGTCGTCTCGAAGCGTGTACTGGGGAGGGGTGTGGGTATCTAAACAAAATCGACGCCGAAAGAACAGAAAAAAAGGAAAAGGAACCCCCAAGATGCTTCAACGCCAGAATATGAATCGGACGGGTTGCGCACGCAGAGGAAAGGCGAGAGGCGGCATGTAAGTGAATGAAGGCAAGACGGCGGCCGACATGGATGAAGATTCTCGATCCAAAAAATCTCCAGCCCTGTCGAAGCGTCATGGCGAATTGGGCATGGCGCCGAGCCCTTCCGAGCCCCGCTCGCCACCTGCACCACCACCAGTACACATGCAACTGCTTATTGAATAGTATTACATAGATAGTAGTACTAGTACTGCGTGTACTACGTCTACAAGACATGAATCCAATCACAACAATAACGACATGATAGTAATGAGAATAGTAACAACTGGTATTCGACATACATGATACTTGGCTTTCTGCCCTAAAAATCCTCATCGCCATCAACGTGGTCAACGGATACTTTGGCAGTCCTTGTGCTCGCATGATCCTTCGCTGATGCCGTCTTGGTTGACAGTCCGTCCACTAGGAGTAGCTTCTCCAGCTGGTCGTCGATGGGTGCATTGAACATCTCCGTCTCTCTACTCTCATCCTCCTCCCAGTCCTCCTTGTCCTCGTTTCCAAAGCAAAACAAATCGCCTGCCTCGCCCTCAATCCTCTTCCTGTGCTTCCCTTTTACCCGCTGGCAGCCACCAATCTCTTGGCGGAATTCGTCGGCATATGCTTGTGCAATCGCCGACACATTGGCAGCTGGAATATGCTGGCCATTGTAAAGTAATCGTGGTAGGTGGGGAATTTCGGGAAGATCGCCATCAAAGGGCAGGGCTTGGTGGAGAGGCACTGCATCAGCCATGGCAGATGGCTCCGCGTTTTGGAGCACGCGCGGCGATTCTTCCGAGCGGACAAATGCTTCTTCCTTGTCCATTGTGGATGTTTGCTCTTCGGCACCTGTCAATGGCCTACTAAACTCCTCTGGAGCATGATACAGCTCGTTGTGTATTGTGACTAGTGAATCAGACATGACTGCGGGGTATAGCAGTGAGTAGCCCCGGGCTCGCATGAATTCAAGCATATACTCGGTCCAGGCTGGCAACGTCTCTGACACCAGCTTCTTCCGAGTTGCGTGCTTGACTGAACCTTGATATTTGGTTACTCGGTTGCTCAGGAACGAGTGCAGCTCGGCCCACTTGTCGCCTAGGAACAGTGTCGCGTGACTATTTGGAGCCTGCCATAAGAACGGTGCGCTCTTGGCTTTGGGAAACAATTTCTTATATCGATTTGTGTTCATATCACCAACCTCGGGGGGCTCCAGCCTTGCCTTGTTGTCCAAGAGCATCGGTGGCAGCTCAAGGCTTACACCCATTAGATCCCCGTAGTCATAAGCGCCATATCCAGAGTACTTGTATTCCAAGAGCGTATACTTGACAAAGTGAAAGTACTGCCGTGCGACTTGCGCCTGTGAAGAAAGCAGGAGCACGTGCGAGTTGGTGGTGCTCGCGGGGTAGAATAGCTCCAGTAAGCGTATCGCCGACTCTTGCTGGCTGTGTCCGTTGTCCGCGATGCGCCGTCTGATGGTGAGTCCGCCTCCAAGGCCGTGCTCGTTGCCGTTTGGTGGCCACTCGAACTTCTCCATGTGTTTTTTCACGGACGCGTCGAGCTCGGCCGGTAACTCGATGATGATGCGAGGCGGTCTCAGGCCACTGTAATCAGCGTCTTTGATCGACTTGAGCAATCGCATAACGCTCGAAGAATGTGGCGGAACCTGTATCAAAATGTCTACGACCGGGTCATGCCATCGTTTCAGTGAGCCAGCATCGAGTCTGGTGACCCACGTGAAATCGTCGAGCCTGTCCTTGGGCACCTGGATGAGAGGCATGTGCAGTGTGCTGGCCTTGGTCTTTAGTGCCCGAACAAAAAAAGCGTCCTCTGACTGTGGGTCATGGAAGAAGGCAGCCTGGGGGTGAAGGAAGGCTTTGATGTGCGACAGAGCTCCTTGCACAGCCAGCTCAGCGCGCGCATCTGTGCTGTACCTGTAGATGCTATGTCAGCAGCAAGCCCGTGGAGCGGTCGTATAAGCTGGACAGACGTACTCTGCATAGTCTGGGCGCGCATCGTGCCACACGGCGGGGCACTCGGTCTTGTCTATGCCATTGATGTGCAGCAAGTCGTCCAGGGGGATGTCGTCCCTTCCCATGAAGGCTACATGGACGTGGTTCCTGTTCCACTTGGACATGTCGCACGCCAGAGACAGCAGCACCGAAATGCTCTTGAGGCTTGACACGGCAAAGAGGACGTTGCTGTTATCCTGGTCATAGCCGCCCGTCGACGAGGCCGACGATCGCAAGGAGCTGGCGAGGCGGAAGAAGCGGACCTGTCCATCGTAGACATGAGGTGTAGGGTCGCCGCGCTTGGGCTTGCGCACGCCTGGCGGTGGGCCGGTGGGCTCGTCGTTGTCATTGTCGTCGTCGTCGTTTGCGCTCGGCTTCTGGTAGTACGTCGAGGTCGTGGGTGGGGTCAAGGTCGAGGGGTATTTCTGCTGCTGTGCCAGGCCGCCATTGTAGTCGTTGGCAGGGGCGTGGAAGAGATAGTAGAGTAGCAGCAGGCCCGTCACGGCCAGCAGCGTGCGCCGCCGTCGCCAGCGCAGCGGGTGGCTCCATGCGGGCCAGCCGGACTTGCGCGCTGGCCTGAAGCGGCGGTCGTCGTCCTTCTTGCCCAGTTCCTCGTCGGCGGCCAGCATCGTGTTTCTGAACATGGTGTCGCCTTCTACCGCGCAGAGACGCCGGGCATCATGTTGGACGGGAATGCGCGTGCAGCAAGGTTTGGGATGACGCGACGGCGCAGATGGACTCGTGCCACGGTGCTGCCACTACGCATGTGTGCACATACAGTATATGTGTACTTGGACGGTTCAAAAATAAGCAATGTCGGTTATCATTGACGAGGATACGCGCGAGGTGGGCCAGGGCACAATGCCGGCGGGTGGGGCACTGGGTGCATGGTGCACTACGATGCATACATACATAGTACTTACTCATTGTACTTGGTTGGGTAGGGCCATATATACTACATACTACTACGTACGTACGTATTGTTGCTGCTACAACTACTACTTACTATCATCTCCCATCTCCCAGCCCTATGCATCCAACCCTCACGCCTTCTCGTGCTCGGCCAATCGCTCGTCTGCCACCCTCAAGGCCTCGCGCAGTATCCGCTCGTTCCGTGGCTTGAACACGACCTTGTACGCTCGGCACATTGTCACCAGGCTGGTCGGGTCTGCGCTGCCTCGCACCGGGTGCACATCCACCTCCGAGTCCTGCACAATCTCGAAGCTGTTCAACAACCTCAAAAATACCAGGTACAGTTCGCGATTGGCCAGCAACGAGCCTGCACACATCCTGTACCCGAGCCCGTACGTGTGCAGCGGCGCGTCGGGCTGCTCGAGCCAGCGCTCTGGCCGGAATTCATCTGGGTCGCTCCAAATGTCCGTGTCTAATGGCACAGTCAGCATTGCTCGCTCCCCTCTCCTTCTTCGCCCCACAAAACCACTAACCCATGTTGCACGCCCATGCGTTCAGGTATATCGTGCTGCCTGTCGGAATGAGCTTGCCGTCGTACATCACGTCCTTGACCGTTGCCCGCGGAAGTGCCAGTCGTAGGACAGTGTAGTACCGCAAGCACTCTCGAACTAGCGCCACAATGTATCCGCACTTCTGATCATCATATGCATCCGCTAGGGGCTCGCTCTCCGTGTAAAATTGCCTGATCTCTCGAATCGCTTTCTCCTGGATGTCTGGTCTCTGGGCAAGCAGGGCCACACTCCATTGGACCAGTGTTGTAATCGTGTCCAACCCTCCGGACAGCATCGTCAAACTAATTGATGTCAGTTCTTCCTTGTTTAGCGCCGCGTCTTTGTCTTGGATGATGTTTGCCTGGATGCATGGCTTATGGATGCCCTTGGCCATGCGTTCGTCCAGGTCGCGGTTCAGTTTGGTCAAGTACACGTCTCTGCGATTACGGTACTCTTTTGCCGACCTCGTACCGAAACTGAAAGGATTCAGCCTTAGTATGGGAATATAATCCTGCAGGTTTCCAGTAGTGCTGCGAAACTTTGAGATTGCGGCCTCGACTTCACAGATCTCGTGGAACATGGGATCATGTCGACTGCCCATTCTAGTTCCCCAGTTGAGTGTCAATGCAAGTGAGAGAGATAGACGCTCAATCATGGGCATTGGGTCCACGCCCTCCGTTCCGGCTTTGCCTGATTCGAAAGCATCTTTCACAAATTCCTTCGTCTCTAGGTCAAGATGGCCTATGTACGTTGCGATGGAAGGCTTATTCAGCGCAGACGCAGCGCCCTTTCTCCGGCGCTTGAGCGAGTCGCTGAAGGGCGAGGTACCAATCGTCGTGCCAGCAGTGTTGGAAAGCACCTACATCACTCAGTCAACTTGTCCTAACCCATATTTGATCAACTCACCTTGTGAAAAGTCCAAAAAACAGGCCTTGAGCTTAGCGCTTGACTGTTGCTGCCAAATAATTTTCTTGCAGCCTCCGCACTGTTCACCACAATCACTGGCTCGTTTCCAAGCTGAATCTGGTACACTGCACCAAATTGCTTACTCCATTCGCGGTACTTTTCCGCCGCGTTGTACTTGATATCGGGAATGTTACCCACCAGTGGCCAGTTTCTTGGTCCGGAAAACCCCTTGATGCGTCGGGAGTATCGAGCATACTCGTTGCTGACAATGTACAAGACGGGAATTAGAATCGATCCGAGTACGAGAGATCGAATTGGATGATCGGCCAGTTGCGAGGACAAAAGCTCAATGATGATAGAAATCATGACGGCGACTGACGTTCCGTATTGCCGGGGATATCAACAGACACAGAGAGAATTTTGTGTGCACGCTAACAATCATTACATCAAGGACGGTCGACTTTATGCCTTTTTTTTACATTGTCTCTTCTATGCGCCACTTGCTACAGAAGGTAAGTACTCTGGGGTTCCCAGATAACGAGGCCCGCTACCAATGCGGGGAAGACAGCCCGGCACTACAGAGCGCGGAATTAACGACAAGAAGCGGAATGCTGCGCGTGCAACCAGTACGTCATCACGCCATGGTTTCCTGCCTCGCCCTAATAACAATTCCATACGGATTGCGGTTATCACAACAACAACAACAACAACAACATATAATCTTCTCCTATCTCTTGCAGCAAATCACGGGACAATGGCTACGGCTGGATGCGCAACCACCCAGTTGTCTTCTTGTCCCGACTAGACAGTTGCATATAAGTCGTCCTGGAAGCTGATCTGAGCCCATAACAAGCACATCCGCGCATGGACTCGTCATAAGAGATTTACCCATGATATGGGGGCGGCCGTATAAGCGAGTTGACTTGTAAGACTTCATGGACAAAGGCATAGCATGTTCACCACTACGGCTGTCAAGAGATGTCCATCGCAATATACCCGGAGTCTGTCGGTACTTTGACTGTGCCGACTGCTGTCTTGAACATGACGCCTAGAGGCTCTGAGGAAATTGCCGGCAGATCCTTCGATAGCCGACACTCCACACCATGTTATCATTATGCAGGGCCAAAGGTTCCCTTGCCATGGCTTCCAAAGCAAAGATTCAAATTTCCCTCTTATTACTCAAGTGTCAGAATTCATCTTTGAACGCCGATTCGTTTGTTGATTAGAAGAAGGCGTTGTTCACACCACACGCCTAACTTCAATTTGTCCCTTTTCTGAGTCTCAGGACCAGGTCTGCTCCCTAGAGCCAGTTTTCATGTCGGCAGCTTTACGTGACATATTTGGATGCGAAATGAGGGGCAGGTGGCTGAATGAGAAAGAAAAGGCGATAACGACATGCTCAGATGGATACTTCCCTAGAATTGAAGAAGTCTCGATCTTCAGTCACATGAAACAATGAATACTATCGGACAGGGGAAACGAGTTACAACACGCAAGGTGTGTAATGCTGGATCTAGAACGACTGCAAACATCCAGTCAATTGCACATGATGCAAACGTCAAACGCTGCACAGCTCCAAGGCCGCCATTGCGAATGACACCTCGATCGTAGTGACACACGCGACCGCTAACGCATGGACAAATCACGAGGAATACTGAACAGCGTCAATGCCCACGAAGTCCATCCACAGAGCACCAATGAGCGGGGCCTCATAAACGTTTGCTCATTTGATATAAATCACTTCCCTGTCCAATTCATGTACGCCTCTTGACAGAGCATACCCTATACTCGCATTGAGGTACAGAATTTGAATCGACATACCCTTTTGTCATTAGCGCTAACGCTCTCTCTTCTCAACATATCATTCGAGTCTCCACATCAAGTTCACGAGCGCAAGTCTGAAGGGAGCAACAGACACTACATGAGGGAAACTATAGGCTTCACAAGACCTTTGCTGGAGAAGGATATCGACGAGTCAGCCGACCAATCTATCAAACAATTTCCTTTTGCTTCCATCTTCGATGAACCACAGGGTTATTTTGAGGAAGAGATAAAAGACACCAAGAACTGGGACACTTTGCATAGATACCATGATGCTCACAGTCAACAATTTGGAGATGCAAACGAGGTCGACCAATCCAACATGGCGGAAAGCAGCTTCGATAAGAATGGACCAACGGCTTTTGACCAGAATTCTTTTGCCCAAATATCGCACTCAGCTCCTGGGATGGACACCACTCTTCCACATGGCCTAGAGAACTGTATTGAACGTATTGGCCCGAACGTCCTAGGCCACAAATCGAGGAACGAGTCTTCCCAGTCGTGTATGTTCCATCGCAGATCCTTTTCTGGCGAAGAGCCCTCATTTGCTCCCATACTCTCTGTCCAACCACCCTCGTCGAGACACAGCAGTACACCTCCACATATTCCAAGTCAGCACTACGGTCCGTTTCTTGGCAGATTTCGAACCTCGGAAGACGCAAAAGTATACCGCCGTGAAAAAATGCGTTTTGGAAGAAGGCCTTGGAGAGATCCCGGTAGCGACCCTACAATCACGGAGACTGAACACAACCGTGCTTTTCACGTAGAGCGCATATACAACGCCATGATTTGTGGAGATTTTGCACGAGACAACGCGAAGTCTACCGCTTTGAAGAGATGGGTTCACGAGCCACATTACTCATCGGATCTTGTCGAAGCATATGCTCACAAGGTATTTGATTGCTTGCTTGAACAGGTCAAAATGGGGTTTCGAGGCTGGAACCAAAATGACTATGTGAACGATGAGAGAAAGGGCGAAGATGACGACAAGGACATTGACTGTGCAGGCCGTTTGGGTAAGTACAAGAGCTGATTGAAATTCCAAAGAGATGGTTGCTGACTTGGCAATTCTAAGAGAACATCATTGCTGCACTACAGCAAGAAAAATCGATTTGTGAGAACGTCATGAGTTCGGCCGGGCAAATACGCATGTTTGTGAACGCACCCAAGGCGTACGCTAAGCGCAAGGATCAGAATCGCGTAGGGAATAGCAAGCGACCAAATGCAAAAAGCAGTGAAGGCACAGAAGGTAAATCACGTCCATCAAAGAGGCGGAGAAACACGGTGCAAAGCAAACAGCCAGAACAGCGTTCACTGTTGACCGAGTCTGGATTGTCGCGAGGCTCACTCCCTCGGCAGCAGCACCAGTCACATTACCGGCCGGCTACGGAGAGGCCACCAGAACCAGGGTTAGCCGCACGGGAGCCTTCCATTCATTTTCCTTCTTATTCACATGGCGGTACCTTTGGAAACCAAGGGGCTATCGCCTTGGCGTCAGCGACATCATCGAGGCAGGTTCCTCCGACTCCTCGGCAGGGAAGTCACTATCACATCGCATCCATGCCAGTGGTGCAGCAACCCCCCTTCTCCCCTCTGCCAATCTCACCCAGGACCATAACTGAGTCGCATACACCAGACGATGCGAGGCTAGCGACCATAGTCCACAGCTACAGCGGGTGGAAGGGCGCGCCTCAGTCTGACTTTTCATTCGACACATCTCAACAGCTACACAATGCCGATTATACAATGATCAGAGACGACCAACAACGTAGCCAGCCTTTTGCCGGTAGCAGTACGCCTAGATACGACAATGCGCTGGATCAGCCTCCTCTTCCGATGGGGATATGTCTCACCGACACGGACATTATTCCATCACTTCCAACGGAGGAGTTACAAGACGACATCTTTCAGCAGTATTGGGCGCAACACCATTCGGATCTGCAACAATCCCCGTATACCCCAGGAGAATAAAAGCATCATTGACCCGCCGAATTATTTTAGGTGTGTTTCCCTTTGCGGGCGGATTACTCAAGTGCGGCATAGGTGATTGGTCCTTGAATTATTGTTATGCTTTCTTTGGTTCATGATATTTTTGACGCTTTGGACGACTTGCAACCAAGCTGTTTGCGGCATGTTTCATATACCAAGATGCTCTGTATACTAGTAGTTCTTTTTCGGGTTCTTTTGTATGGCAATTGCGCACATTCGAGCAGAGACAACGATTGGCTCGAATTGTATATATCGACACAGGTGTTTAAGCTCGTAGGTGGGAAGGAACATTGTGGAGATGTACCATGATTTCTGCAGTTTCATTCTTATCCAACAGTCTGTTTCTAGTAATATATATATATATATATATATATATATATATACCAATCAAGGAAGAGTGGTTCGATATAACAAACTTCCCAATGGGTATCCAGCTGAAATGGTTCAGAGAAAATGATTTCATATGTGTTGCTGTTGACGAAACGACTTTCGTGATTCTGATCCACCGTACCTATCAAAATTTGCACACATTATTCAAGATCACTTGAGCCCAATAAGCGGGCGTGCATAAACATATGCACAAGGGTTGCATCACAGACAAAATACTCGAAGAAACTGAGGACAGAAAGATGCACAGCTCCCACAAATGGTGGGGGGGAAATGGTTTCATTGAAAAGTGTATATCTACAACAGAATCGAACAGTAATTTCTTGTTTCCAACCAACTCATCAAGCATGGTCGATCGCATTGATGGTTATTTGCTCCATGGAGGAGCTCAACCACGGAAAGCACGGGGATGAACGCCTCCGGCAGCCATGACACTGCGCACCTTGTTAGCAACACCGGAACCGGCATTGGCGCGGAGCCAGGTGATGAAGGTGTCGATGGTGAAGGTCTTTGGGAGCCCGGAACCGGAACCAGAGTTGGAGCCGGAGCCGGAGCCCTGCGAGGGAGCAGGGGCGCTGCCAGAGTCGGAGTTGGAGTTCTCAACTGGGGCAGGCGAAGCAGAAGGCGATGTAGCAGGGGCAGAGCCAGAGTTGTCGACTGGGGAAGGAGTAGGAGCAGGAGTAGTGCTGTTGCCAGCACCGGAATCGGAGCCGGAGCCGGAGCCAGCGCCCATGGTGAAGTCGATACAAGACTCGTATGTCTGGTTGATGGTGGGTGCATCCCAGTACCACTGGATGGCACAGACACCAGCCTTGTTGCAGTGATCGCTGACGTCGGGCATGGTGATGCTGAAGTCGGTCCACTCGGGGTGTTGGCTGAGGGGAACAGAGGTCAAGGCGTACTTGTCCCAGCTGATGAGGGGCTTTCCGATGACCTTGTCGGTAGCGAGGTCGATGATGGAAACATTGGCAAGACCGTCGTGGGGCGCACGAATGGTGACGGTCATGGGTACCTTTTGGCCGGGCGTGTAGGAGTAGACCTCGGTGTGATCGGAGAAAGGAACACCCTTGCATTGCCAGATACGGCAATCAGGGTGGCTGCCCTGAAGGTTCTGGATAGAGCCCTGGACGTTGCCGTACATGTCGGAGTTCTGAGTGTTGAAGACCTGGTCACCGCATGCTTCCTTGAGGCCGTCGCCGGCCTTTCGGGGAGTTGGGGTGACAATGCTACCGTGAGCAGCAACGGATGAAGCAAAGCCTGCAATGGCAGCGGCGATAGCGTATGACTTCATTGTGATGGATTGTTTGTTGTTCGAGAAGAGCGATAGATGATGTACAGAGAATCCGAAGCCTAGCTTCTTTGAGAAGAGAGTGAAAAAGAAGGTTGCTTAAAAAAATGAGTGGCAGGTCTCAGACCTATGGCAAACGAAGGAGCTGTGAGTTGGAAGTGAAGAAACGGTGAGTTTGATGGAGAGAAGAAGACTTGGAAGAAGACCACTGGTGATGGCTATATACAATGGAGCAGCATGACATTACTCACGTCAAGGGCTCCATGTGTGGATCTGATAGCTCATCAAACGCATGAAACAAATTCCCATAGAAGTGACTTCTTCACAGCGCTGGCCCTCGCTTGTGATTCAAAACAATAGCTTCGCGCCCTGTCGCTTCCCGAGAGCAGACTCGGCGTGGGTCCTGCAGTTATGCTTAGTCGCTTTTTCCACCAGTTAGAGGTAGGCGTCACGCAACTAAGGCCGGAGGTTTCTTTAAAATATGACAGGGTGAAGAAAGGCGTTCCTGCGACAGCGGGCACCATGCACACTGACAGCTTGGTGGCCGGGGTTCCTGGGAGGCTAGCCGTAAAGGGAAATAAAGACGGGTCGTCTTATGTAGTCGAAGCGCCCGCGCGCCTGGATTGAAACGGTCGGGAACATGCGCCAAGTTTCAGGTCGTCCGACGCTTAACTATGCAAAGAGCCGGCGGCATATTGTCTGCGGCGCTGCTCACCAATCCGACAGTCACTAAGTACTGTTTGTCTTTGCCTGCAATAGATCTGGACAGTGGCCAGCATGGCCTCGAATTCCACCTGCTGACTCTTGGCCTGTGGAAACTAGTAATGGAACGGTGTTGGCGCAGAGTAGTTTTATTTTCTTGGAATCCTTGACAACTTGGAGAGGAGTTGAGTAGTTGAGTGGGAAGAGGTTTTCGAGACTGGACCTGCAGATAACTCGGAGATTAATGAGGGTACCCAACCCTACATACACTGGAGCCAATCTTGTGTTCTATGAAGTATCTGTGGAACAACCTGGAGGGCACTGCCGGATTGGTACATTGATGACGCATTTTAATGGATTATCAGGTAATGACAAAGGCCCGAGTTGTGCAACGCAGATTGCGATACCATCAGATGCGTGGATTGTGTCTATTGCCAACTCTTTATGCTATTGTAAAGAGCAAGATTGCGTTGATTTGCATCAACACCATGTACTAGGATTTTCTGAGATTGACAAGCTTGTCATACAAGCATTGTGGATTTGTACCAAGATTGATGAACAGAGGTTGCCAAGGCAGGCACAAGCACAAGATATCGTTCCCACCGAACATGCTTGGATTTGCGGTGCAGGCCTGTGCGGAAAATCCAACGGCAGGAAGTGGAGAAACATTTGATGATGGCCAAGCCTCGACTGGATATTATATAAATCCCAGCGTCGATGACATTCCACGTAACTATGTACCTAAATGGTACACACCTGCGTAAGTATGTATATCCACAGTAAGCACGAAACATGCCGATACTGCAGGGGCGCTTGACACCGGCGGCATAGCGGGGCATGTCCGTGACGACTGGCGGTTTCACACTTATCGATTGTTGTCAGCTTAGCACATGACAGACAAGGCCGTAAGTATCTACAATCTGCCCAGATGTAAACGCCAAGAGATGGTCTTCACTCACTCTCCGGACAAGCCGCTTCCTACTCGCTGCCACCCGTTTCAGCCGTTGCACTGCGTTTTGCCTCTCGATCCTTTTGCGGCGTTCCCACGCCGTTGTTGACCAAACATAATGTCCAGCTGCATGCACTGCTCAAACGACTTATCTTGTGTTGCATTAGAATAGAGCTAAGAAGCCTCTGAAGAAATAACACCGTGTATGCGTCATGGCGGTAGGGTATCTGTCCGCCTTACCCGCTGGCTTCCATTTTCCCCAGGCGGCTCCTGTTGATAGGCTTATGCCATGGACCAGGTCGTCGATTTCACCAGTGGCGCGCACAGTCAGTGTTGTCACAGTAAGAAGTCGCTTTCAAAGATATGCATATTTTATAGCAACGTGCTGCAAAAAGTCTGTGCTCCCTATACAACACTATTTATAGGCTGCTGGGAGTGCAAGCGATCCCGGGTAGAGGATGAAGCTCGCCAAATCCGGGTTCCGTCTGCGCAATTTAGCCGATTGTGGCAACAGTGCCTTCTCAAACGGGAACTCTTCCCCTGGAAAAGGCATTAGGCTTGAAAATCTTATATTGCATACACAAAACGCTTTAAGACGGTGGTTTTAAAACCGTCGATTTGTTAAAGGGATTAGGAGAGCCAAGAAAGCGGTGTCCTCGACCGCACCAGTATCAGTGACAACTCGCTACAAAGCCAAAAATTGGAATTGATTATGGAAACTTTGCGACTTGCGGAAAAGCCAATACTTGAAGACTGTGCAATGATACTCAGGTATATAATTCAAGCACAATACCATGCGGACCGCCATACTCGGCTTCGTAATTCAGCTCGTACCAGTACACCTCCAGATCTTTTGTATTGGCTGGGTGGACGAAGAATTGGGCAATCTCTCTTCTTGGGCATGCAAACCATTTACTGCGGATCTCGCTCGCACCAGTCGTGGACAAGACGTAAGTGTCGTAGCGCTCAATGATTGCAGGCTTGTTGTTCCAGCTGGTACGACCGTTTTCAAGTTTAGGTTCGACACGTGAAATATCAATTACGAAAGGGGGTTCGCCTTTGAGGCTAAAAGGAGCGTTCTTGATAGGATCAGTGTTGACTAAGAAACGAAGACGGCAGACGTTGGCGTTGTTGTCGGGTACGTAGAAGCTGACAGCAGTCCACTGCTCGTTTTCAGTCTTGTTCTTTGTTCCATTGTCAGCTATCATGCAATAAGCAGCGTGGCTTGATCTCGTGTCATACGCTGTAGCTGACAGTGGCATCTTTCTGAGTAGGAAATGCAGTGTCCGGTTGGGATTTCTTGAGAGGAAGGAGCAGTACTGGGTACTGCGTTTTGATGAGTGTTGCAAAGACCGGAAGTCCAAAGACGACGGGGAGAAGAGTAAGTAGACGCATTTTGTATTTGGATGAACAAGATGAGCAAAGGAGACAGTGCAAGATTGGACATGTTTATGCTGAGATTATGTAGGTTTGTCGGCAAAGATGCTTGAACTGAGAAACAAATTTGGGTAATTGGTGTAACATAGGCACAGTCGCACTCCCACAGTTGATGTTGGACAAAGTGGACTGGCTTTGTTGTGCAGGTGATTTTGGTGATGCTCGTGGTGATGATACTGCAGGACACAAAGGAGCTGTCATTCACGTGTTCGCCCATCGGGAGGCACTTGATATCTTGAACGTCACATTGGTGACAGGTATTGCGTACCAAATGGGCGACTATCGTAAGCCAGAGCACTACTTGGTAGTAGTACTTTTATAATGTGGCGTTTGTGTACGCAATGACTTGATTCGACATGGTTTGGTCTGGAGAAGCTGCATCACGTCGGCACAAGAACAGCGCAGCTTTGCAATGTCCTTGATTGCCAGGGAGAAGTCGGCAATGGGTTTGTGCATCTGGTAGCTGTCCTACGCAGGCTAGTGTTAGTGGTGGACGGCGCCCTGCAGTTGTCAAACCAGCCTCGGCAAGTGGGGCTGGCATGATTGACATCAGCGATGAGATTGCTCGTTGTCGCAACCGCGACTTGTTTCTTTGTCTCTTGTACACCCAATTTGGCCTCGTACCCATGAGCAGAGCATCTTCCCTGCCAGCATGGCGCTGCTATCTAGATTACGGCCCGTCTTGAGGCCCTCAGCATACCTACGGCTAAGGCGCCCCTCGATACGCCGTAGCCTGTACCTGGCACCGCCATACCTCGTCGATGACTACATCCCCCATTATCATCTACTGTCTTCGGTGGACGCGTCTAAGAAGCGATCGTTGGCCTATGCACACCTGCGCGAATGCAACTTATGCCCCCGCCTTTGCGGCGTCAACCGCTACGAGAAGACAGGCGTGTGCCTGATCGGTGCAGAGACGGTCAAGGTGGGAACAATTGCGCCACACTTTGGCGAGGAACCATTCATCCAAGGCCACAACGGCTCGGGGAGTGTCTTTTTTAGTGGTTGTAACCTTCGCTGTGTGTTTTGCCAGGTATGCGCTGCTCGTACAGAAGACGACTCGCCGTTTGCCATATACTGATGCTACGCAAAGAACCATGACATCTCACATACGCGTAACGGATTTGACCTGACACCCGAGGGTCTTGCCGAATGGTACATGAAGCTGCAAGATGTTGGCCGCGTCCACAACATCAACCTTGTCACGCCAGAACATGTGGTGCCACAGGTGGTACTAAGCATACTGCATGCGCGCGAACTCGGCCTGCGCTTACCTATTATTTACAACACATCGGCGTTTGATTCGCTCGAGAGCATTAGTCTGCTTGACGGACTGGTGGATATCTACATGCCTGACTTCAAGGTGTGGCGTGACACGACGAGCAGGCGTCTGCTCAAGGCAGACAAGTACACGGAAGCGGCCATGGAGAGCATCAAGGCCATGCACAAGCAGGTGGGCGATCTCTGCTTTAGTGCAGATGGCATAGCCAAGAAGGGTGTCATTGTGCGACACCTGGTGATGCCCGGCATGGAAGACGAAGGGCAGGAGATTGTAAGGTGGCTTGCGCAGAACGTCAGCAAGGACCTGATGGTGCACATTATGGAGCAGTACTTTCCAAGGGCTCATGTGGGTAAGCCACGTCGCAGTCGCGCAAACTCTGATGATGAACCGTCATCGGACGCTGGCGACCAAGTTCGGTACGCAGACATTAATCGTCCTGTGCATCTGGATGCGGTTGCGTCTGTGAAGAAGGCAGCACAGGAAGCCGGGCTGTGGAGGTTTGTCGAAGCATCGCGCCATGGCGGCTTCAACATTTGACGGGGCGGGCGTTGGTAGTGCCTGCCTGTCTGCTTGTGTTGTGCCTGCCTACGTACCTCAACACCACAGCACACTCACACTGCCCTGGATGGCGGGGCCACCATCACGTCACCACCCGCCCTCAGGGCAAACACTCCTCTCCCCACGCACAGGCCCTCGTTCACCGCAATGGACGGCATTGCCTGCATCCAACACATTGTCCGTGACCTCAAGGTGGACCGGGATACCTGGCAGGCAGTCGCTTGCCAGTACAAAGCTGCCTTCGAGGCCCAGACTGCTCATCTGCGCGAGCTTCAGGACGTCTGCTTCGCCACCCAAGCCGAGCTGGAGAATGAGCGAGCCCACCAGCATCGAGGCCACGCCGCCTCAACCCTGACTGACATTTCTCCATCCCGCCCCTCTGACGGCGTCGAAAGCCCCTTTGGCACTGCCACGATTTATTCCCTACATGGCGTTCGTGCAGAATGCTCGCAACCAGTCGCTGAAGGATGTGTCAACCCACTGTTTAATAGAGTGCACGAGTGTGCCCATCAGAGAAACTATGGCACTGCTCTTTCAGAAGTTGAGCAACTACTACGTGGTACCCTTAGTCCCAAGGCCCGCGCAGAGGGCCTCCTACTGAAGAGCAATATCCTCAGAGCATCAGGACCCGCTGACATGTTTGACGCACTTGCCGTCTGCAGCGAAGCCATAGATCTTTGCAGCCGTCTTGCCGAACTGGAGAGCTTCCTACCCAAGATACAGCGCCAGCAGAATTTACTTCGCCATGATCTTCGTGCACTCCATCCAGCTTCCGATACGTTGAGCACCACTAGCAGCCATGACGATCTACTCTTGCCTCAAGTGAGCGCCGTCCGCAAGTCTTACGACGACGAGCTGGACATGCTGTGTTGTGCCAAGCGCCGATCGGGCTTTGATGAGAACCGTACCATGGAAGGTCTGCTTGTGCAACTCGAGGAAAAGGCCACAGACGTACGCGGCGTTGCCTTGACCTTGGTGGTCTCCAACTCGTGCTAATACATCCAGAACAAACGTCGACGTACCAGTGCGCGACTCAGGCTGCGCGCTGCCGCCAAGGCGAGACGAATGCCTGTACCGTATCGTTGGGTCAGAGCGAGAAGCGAGGGATATCACCGTGTAAGCTAATCAGCAAGAGACTGACAGCAGTCGTGGGACTTGGTGGGCTTTGTGCGGGTACCGTTAGCGGCACAACCAGGAGACTAGCAGAATATCTATTCATCGTCTTAGCTTTACTCAGAAAATCAAATTCTCCAATTCCGGTTCATTTGATGCTCTCAATGGAATCATTGTTGTTCATTGTTGCATCACTGTACTCTTGGACAGGGGCTCTCTCAACGACAAAGAAACGCATCTTGGAAGACATGTATACCGGGGCTATTATGTCCTAAAGGCATTGTTCTCTGGTGCTAAACGATTTGTGGATTTGAAGGATGCGTTGAACTTCGCTCGCTCGTTGCAGAGAAGATACTCTGAACCTCCTAATATGAAAACCATCCCAAACAACATGCCGTCTCCTGCCGCTTCAAATCGTCCAAGTGCCTTGGATCAAGATACTTCCCCATCCAAAGCAAAGGGCCACACTATCCTCAACGATACCATGGATAAATGCATAGTTTCAGCCGACGACAGTACATTTTTCAACAACAGTTCAGCATTTCACACATCTTCTCGAACTGCAAATCATCTCTCTCCGAGCGGTCGTCCGAACTCCATGTATGGCGCACCTCTTGACGAGACCCTTAGAGAACACGACACATACAAGAGTCGCGTGCGTCTAGTGCAGTTTCACTTGTTCATACTTCGCTGCCAGGTACTGCAGTCTATGTCGGATATCCTGGAGCGCAACCCCCGAACGGATGAGGTCAAGTCGGATATACAAACCAACTATCGTAAGATCTGCCGCTTTGCCTCCAAAGCCGAAAAGCTCACAGAAGGATTTGACGACACTACTTTGCAAGCACGCAGTGAGTACTGGGCTGGACGTGGTTGCGGCGGCTTGGGACACTGGCTGTCTGCCAAGATGCATTTTGGGAATGCAATCAAACTCGACACACCAAATAATGCGAACAATCACAACAACCTTCAGCATAGAGGACTACGTCCAAATGAACGGGCAGATGTACGTTTTCTGCTGCAGATTGTCACACAGCGCAACGATAGATGCGTTCGCAAGAGAGAGGAAGCCCGTAAGACTCTGAGTGAGCTCGAGTTTGAAGAGGTTGATTGGGACAAGGAAGATATGAAAGATCATCGGTGGACACCCTACCGTGATTGCATGAAGCGCGCCGCAAAGCAACAGGTAGAGATATGTCACAAAACAGGCACACCCATGAACCATTTGCTCACCAGCGATGGCCAACCAGCAAACATTCTTAAACAAAAGGAGATAAACATGGTTCTGGAAAGACTAGCCAAGCGAGATGGCAAGGCACTCCTCTGCATGACGCTCAACGCGGAAGAATGGCGTTACATTTTCCGCGGCGACGCAGCTATGGAGAAGGACAACCTTGGTACAAACGACACTGGCAGAGACAAAGCAGACGACCATCTACCTGAGCAAATGGCTGAGCATTCTTTGCCTCCTTCGATCAACGCCTCTGTACAGCCATCACTTGAAATATCACGTAACCTGTGCGATGAACTGGAAGAAATTGAATACAAAAGTGGCGAGGAAACACCGGCTGTATCCTCCGCCAGTTTTACAAGTCATACTTACGCTGACGGTGAAGGAGATGTACCATCGTCATCATCACTGCCACCATCAGGAGGCTTACAAGACCGAAGGAATATTACTATAGCACCCATTCACACCGATTACCGCAAGGAAGAATCGGCGCCGAGTAACGCGACGTTGAAATCGGAATCAGATTCAGAGGCGACGTCGGTACCGGCGAACGACAATTGCTCCCTTGAGGATGGCTTGGTTGAATCGCGGTCACCATGAAAAACGTGCAAGTGGGTCTAAGAAAACTATGACAGCGGGTTAATTATTCTTGAAGTTAATCTAATACATAGTGTAGCTGGCACATCAAGCAATACAACAAGTACGAAAGTACAAACTAAAATTTCGTTATGACTCTTCACTGTACCAATCCTCAGCAGCATTAAAACAAATCATCCATGCAGCGCTGGAAATGAGTGTATGACTCGACTGAAAGTCATCTGAATGCCCATGTATACGCGATACGAGATCGCGCTTTCGCTCATCGCGAACGGGCCCTTCCGCTGGTCTAGCGCGACCGGTTCGATCAAGTAGTGTAGTAGACGACTTTAATAAATAGTAACTGTTTAAATTGAATCAAAGCCACCAACTAAAGCACCACCAAAATCTCGCACGTTCAATGCCTTTGGTGGCATCACTACCGACCGTTTTTTATAACTCTCTTCCGCGGATCGGCCTAGGAACCGCGTTCAGCGTATATTGCACATCAGACTTGAAAAGTTTCTTTGCATCTTTCAACGGAATCACCGGACCAAAGTACCATTTCGACGTGTCTCGCCGCTTCTCATCACTGCACTGTTTCTTCGTGTATGCGTATGCTGACACCAAGGCTGAAGAACACAGCTGATTTATGGCATTGAAAACATCGGGTTCTGGAAATGTTGACGAGAAAAAGTATCGCTTGGCTCTCTCAACCTCAAACAGAACACGACTCGAGTCTCATGGCTCATGCCCCAAACTGGATTGGACATTACTCGGACGCTTCTGGGCGGGATGTTGCCAAGCTGGTCCCGACTCAATGGTTTTGTTCACAACTGTTGTGAATGCTGTCTGGAATGCATATTCTTCGGTTGAGAAGTTACACAGTAGTAGAAGCCGGCGACGGTCAACATGTTCATTGAATAGTATGTAAGTTTCAAGTAGAGCACCGTCAGCAGCACCGTTCGTGAGCATTTCGGCTATTGGTAGAACTTGGCCGGCATTCCTACGAGAATTAGTACCACGCTAATACGTAAATTGTGTGAGATACGAATGTAGTAACCGAAGCGTTTACTAAGCGCCGCCCCTCGTGTTACACTAACTTGCAATTTCTCCATCTTTCCCACCACAGAAATGTAGTTAACGTGTTGTACAACATTCCATTGTTCACACACCCCCCACATTATTCCATCCACTCTTCATCGGTGTTCGAATGCTCCAAATGGCAACCGCCCCCATCTTGTCCACAGGTCTGGAATGGCGATCTTCATTTCCGAGTTTCTCCCATTGGTGGTTCTTTTGGTGTCAAGGCGCAGCCAAGATTTCTTAACAGCATAGTCAATTGGCAACACCTCTACATGCTAGGTTACCTTTCTACTCTAGGAATCATTCGGAAACAAGCTAACAGAAACGACATCCCACTCACGCACCTATGGAGAACGGTCGGCTTTTGAAAGGGAACGCCCCCCCCCCCATTACCCCCTTGACACGTACCCCAGGTTTCCAAGCAAGATTAGGCTTCTAGAATCCCATCAAGTGGATACACACGAGACCGCCATGGCTTGACGTGCTTGGTGGATATTGGCGGTTGTCAAAAGGTCCTCCCCTAGAAGCCAAGCTTCAACTCGTATACTTGCGGAGAAACTGCTCATTGGGGAGCCCCGATGAGTAAATGGCTGCTCCACTGTTTGCACGGCGTCCGCTCTGTTAATCTTAACTGACATAGGTCGTGGTAGATTAAATGGGTGTGCTATAAGAATACATATCTTGTAGCTGCCCTCTCTACCTTTTTTTTAGTAGGTTCGTTCTACATAACCGCTGGATCCTTGTATATATCTCAACCCTGTTTTCGCAAGTCGATCTTTACATCCGGTATCTATTCTTCTTCGTTCACTTTTAGTCCATTCCTTGTAAAGACATCAAGATGCGTTTCTTCGAGGTTGCCACTGTGGCTTTGACAGCTGCTTCCACCGCCTATGGCGCCCCTATGGAGAAGCGCGCTGCCGCCGTTGACGAGCTTGTTGGTTTTGGTGCTGGCACCACTGGAGGAGGAAGCGGAGCCGGTACCACTGTCACCAACTGCGCCGACCTGACTGCTGCCGCCAAGGTCGGAGGTGTCATCAAGATTAAGGGTACGCTCACAGGCTGTGGCATTGTTCGCTTCGATGTCCCCGGCACCTCCATCCTCGGTGTAGGCAAGGACGCCGGAATCACCGACGGTGGTTTCCGCTTCTACAAGACTTCAAACATCATTGTCCGTAACCTGAAGTTCTACCGTGCACCCGAAGGCAAGGACCTCATCGACATTGAGGCCACCACCAAGGTCTGGATCGATCACAACGACTTCTCCAGCGTTGGCATCACCGGCGACAAGGACAAGTACGATGGCCTCTTGGACGCAAAGTCTGGATCCGACTTTTTGACTTTCTCATGGAACAAGTTCCACGACCACGTAAGTTCTTCTTTACTATATATATATAAAAATCGGATGTCAGTACAAAGTAGAGCTCACACACCCGCTAGTGGAAGGGTTCCCTCGTCGGCCACTCCGACAACAACGGATCAGTAGACAAGGGCAAGCTGCGCGTGACTTACCACCACAACTCCTTCACGGCAGTCAACTCGCGTCTGCCGTCCATCCGCTTCGGCACAGGCCACATCTACAGCTCGTGCTTCAACGGCGGTGTTTCCGGCATCAACTCGCGCATGGGCGCCCAAGTGCTCGTCGAGTCCAACTCCTTCACCAACGTTGCCAAGTCAGTCGTTACCAACCTCGACTCTGACGAGGAGGGCTTTGCGACGGAGAAGAACAATGTTTTCAGCAACAGCCCTACCCAGATTACCAAGCAGGGCTCTTTCACCCCAAGCTACAAGTACACTGTTGACCCTGCGGCCAGCGTCTGCAGCATCGTGGCCAAGAGCGCTGGTGTTGGTGTTGTCACCTTCTAAGCTACTAACTGAAGCGTGTCACGAGGAATTGTACACCAATTCTCGGGAGATGAGTTGGAACCTGATGGTGGTGCGACGTTGTTGATTTGTACATACAATATATTTTCTCTAGTATAGTTTTGAAAATCCTCTCATACAACGCGATATTGGCGCGCTGGAACAACCATGTCCATCCCATACAATTTCAAGCCCGAGTGTGTTTGCGAGCAGATACAGTGTCGCATGATGATGATGGCATTTACAAGTTACTAACAAAGAAGAGGAAAGGTGGTTCATACACGCCAACGGTACCAAAACATTAAAAAAAAGACGCAGGAAGGAATTGAATGATGATTTAATCAAATCATCATACTTTAAACATTGCACGATCGGGTATTCTTGACTCGTCTCTCTCCTCTTGCTGTAGTAACAACGTCGCGATGGCCATACACCATGTTCCTCACAACTCAACTATCTTGATCCAATATTGACACTCCCCCGACTCTCCATACTTTCTCTCTCTCTCTCTCTCTCTCTCTCTCTCTCTCTCTCTCTCTCTTCGCCCTGTTTACTCTGCAAAGACCCAAACGACACTGAAGAGAACACAAATCAGAGCTACAATGACTATTACTTCAGGGCCGTTCTTGATGCCAACAGGCAAACCCTCGGTAGTGAACTGCAGCACAATACCCTGGGTAAAGTTCTTCTCAGCCTCGACCAGCGCAATCTCAGTCCAGTTTCCACAGCGGGAGTTCAAGTCCCTGTCCGCGGTGAGGGCGGGCAGCTTGGCCATGGCTGCGTTCATCAGGGCGGCACTGGTCAGAGTGCCCACGTTTGCCTTTTGCATTACGACGGTACGGTAGGACCCATTAGCGCCGACAGTGGATATGTTTGCTGTGCGCTCGTAGTCGAGGCAGAGTTCTTGCTGGGAAGGGGTGACGGAGACTTGGCGGGTGTCCAAGTCATTGTTCAGGCGACCTGGGATGATGACATTTCTGGCCGAGGGGGTGGCAGCTGCCAAGTGGAAGATGGACAGGAGAAGAAAAAGCGGTGCAAAAAGTGAAGTGTACATGATAGCGATGTTGTTGGTTTTTTTTTCTTTGTTTTGGTGTGTCCTTTTTTCTTCTTTGTCGAGTTGGTTGACAATGAGTTGTGGCGAGACCGGCGAAGAAACGATTGTTGGTAGTGAATGAATGGAAGTCGGGTATTATGAAAATAGTAATGGCAAAAATGTGACCGGCACGCCTCGTAGAAGTGAATAGACCCAAAAGAAAGAAGGGAAGTAGTGGTTGGATGAGGTTTTGGTTCCGCTGCCTGAGGTATACCAAGAAACACGACAAGGGGAGAAGCGAAGAAAGGAAGAAAAATCAGGCCACTTGGACGTGATTTATGAGGCGACAATGGCTACGATGTGTGGTTGTTCTGACAGCACTGCGACGTGGAGCGCCGGATGTTGGGGCGTGCATGAGGCTCTTTGTGTGTCAGGATGCTCGGAGGATTATGATCAAGTGTACCTGGCTGGGCGCTACTAGCGTGTCTAAGTACATCGATGACGTGGTGAGCAGAGTGAGCGTGACATTGTTTAGATTTCGAGTGTGCACCAATTGTTGTGCGAAGCGCTGGCAGAAGACGTGAATTGCGCGTGGCGCCGTGGCTATTGGAATGTAGTGCGGCGCGATGGCTACGGGCGGTTGGATGGACGGGCGGCTGGGGGGCGGGACATGGCCAGGGGCGCGTGTCATGCTCCTGCGCCTTGGCCTCTAGGCGAAAGCCCCCTCGGAACCATGACAGCCGCTGTCATGTCATGAGACCACACCACACCGCACCAGCCTAACCTCTCTGCCCATACTCATACTACTTACTTCATGGCATGAACGCGTCAAAGCTCCCGATATCGTCCATGTTGAACGTTTCCCACATCACCGTGTCCCAATCCTCGGTACCTTCGGCTGGAAATTGAAAGTCTCCTTCTCCCACACCCTCCAGTTCGTTGGCGCCATACGGACTCAAGCATTGCACTTGGGTGCTTGCTATCCTCTCTAGCAGCGGGACGCACACATCCAGGGCCCGTCGCAAGGCTTCTACCAAGAGCATTGGGAAATCTGACCGGTTGGCGCGACGTTTTGTCGCGTCGATCCATGCCTTGTGGAGACACAGCACAAGATAGCCCTTGACGCCTGTTTCGCCAGCTTGATTGGTGTCCAAGGCCCAAGAAGCAGCCTGTTCAACCACGGCTCCCAGCGGGCTCGACATCATCTCTGCGTCCTCTTCATCGTCCTGTACTCGCATGGTCCACTCTTTCGTCAAGAACAACGAAGCATTGAAGGCATATTCCCGGAAGAAGCCCGACCCACACCGACATAGACGAGCTAGGTCCCTCTCGCCTACGGAACAAACACCGTCCGTACATACCGGATGCGCTAAGTTACAAATCTTGAGCGACGACTCCACTGTGGCTTTTCGTGAGTACGCGAACCTTGGATCTTTGAGTCCAGAGGCGAAGAAGGGGAGGTGGAGGCAAGTCGTGTAGCGTTGCATCATAAACTCGACTGCCTGCAGCGTGAATTGTGACGGCAAATGGGCGCCAGAACTGTAGCCATGCAGTGTGCGGCGCAAGTTCTTGGACGCACTTCTGAGCATTCCATCAATGTGCAATGTCTCTTCGTACGTCCCACTTGAAGCGATTTCGTTTAAAAATTTGAGTATCGCAAGTCGAACTGGCAGTGTTTTCCGAAGAGCAATCGCCACTGATGTTTGCGTAAAGACTTGATCGTGCGCGGCTACAGGACCCGCCCCCAAAAGTTCTTCGTCATCAAAATTTCCTGGAGGCGCAGTATTAAATTCCTCTTGGGAAATTAGTGGTGGCCCACCAGACATCATGCTCATCTGCAACGATAACTCAAGTACCGTATTCCAGATCCGTCGGCGCATTTCTGCTTCCAATGTGGTCATTGCGGGAAGGTGAGAGGGATCCTTGTGCAGTCCAATATAGACCGCTGTTCGATACACGGCACCCAGCGAAATCCACACAAGGGCCTCGCCTACGCCAACAAATTCGCGTGCAAAGAGCAAAAGGATGCTGTTTTGCAGGTACTGGATGCCAAGTTGCGACTTGAATGAGGGCGAGGAGAGCCATGTTTGTGCTTCGTACACCCAACGTGTCGCTTCAGCCCGCAAGGACATGTTGTCATCGTAAAATGTGGCACCGATTGCTAAAACCAGTTTGAGCATCACTACAAAGGACATGCTCGGAACTGTGTCATTGGTCCACATTTCTTCGTATGCACGCTGGAAGCTTGGTATGTGTAAGACCCGGTATATGGTCTCTATGGTACGAAGGTATGCAGCGACAAGTTGGTCGCAAAGTGGCTTGGGTGGCAAGTCTCTGCATGGCTGAGTAGGCCAAGTTGGAGAGCGGCTCGCTTTGATAACACGGGCTAGCTTTTTAGCTCGTTGTAGGTCAGCGACACAGTTCATTTCTCCGGCTCGAAGATGCGGTTCAATCATCTCAAGCATTTGACGAAACTACGCACATTGTTAGCAGTTGAGTACGCTTTGATCTGAAGCATGGGGTTTGCACCATGACGAAACCGTTCATCCAATGGCTTTGCCCAAACACACGGTTTTTATGCGCGACACTCCGAGAGATAGAAGCACCGTTGGGTGACCGGGTATCTTCAAGAACATCTACAGTTGTCGCCAGGCAGCTGAAAGTCCGCACAGAATGTGTCGAAGCTGGAGTGGAAGCAGCGTCCGAGAACGGCGAGTTGGTGGTAACACTACTAGCACGAGACAGTTTATCTTCCAGTTCAGTGATGCGAGTTCGCATGGCTTCTAGCTCAAACGCAGCATAGTTGCTGCCGTCTGTAGGGTGCTCTGTAGAGAATGAGCTACTTGTAGTCGAGACTCTTGAAGGCATGGTGGAGCCAACGATTGGTCCTGGTACATCGCGCTGTGGCTGAATGCACGACAGTGCTCTTTTATCCAACCTCTGATCCAGAGATGATTGAGTCTCGTATACGCAAGACCCTGTCTTTGACCTCATACAGTTGCTGCATGGCGTCTCTCTGTTACACCGTACCTTTCTTCTGCGGCAGAGGGTGCAGGAGCTGAATATGGTTAGCGCCAGTTGTAGCCGCCGAGACATGAGCGACCTACACAGTGGGTCTTTTACGTGAGCGAGGGCCCTCAGCCATGTCTTTGGCAAAACTTCTAATTGCAGTATGGAGTGCCTGAATATTGTCATAGAGGATGGAAGCTCAAGTGGGGTCACGGAAACGTAAGTGAAAGCGGAGATAGGTACTTATGACAGTTCGGTCATGCCTAGTAGACTTTCGCGTGCTCGGAGATATTGGCCAATCACATCACAGCCGACTTTCTTATCTCCGACATAGCAGATCTCATCTACTGTATCCAGCATACCCAAGATGAGATTACATGAATAGGTAGCTTGGCAGCTTTTATATAGTTTGTATGCGGTACAGTAGGTGGGCCACTGCTTGACCGGTTTGGTGTCTGGGTAAGTGAGCTCGATTTTCCTACAGATAGCAGCGAGCAAGCATACGCAAAAGTGAAAGATTACCGAGCCTTATGCTTCCGAACACGACAGATGCATCGACCGTTAGCCTTTGCCTATTTCTCCGTCTCATGATGATCATTCTGTGTGACAAGTACTGTCAATTCATTCTCATGCAATTCATCCTTATGGGCAGCAGCGCCGTTTTTCTGCAATTTCCTGCATTCGTCGTCAAGTGACATTACCTCGCTAAACGGCGTGCAGTAGCCCTTGGAATTGTGGCTTCTGGGAAGGTGGTTAGGTACATATTGCTCGTAGCAGCGCTAGTCTCCATGATCATGATGTGTATGGATGGCCTTCTTCCATATACATATGTATGCTGTCAGAAGAGGAGCGACTACACTGCAAGCATTCTATCTACTCGCCGTGGTCAACGGGTCGTCAACCTTTAGACACATCATTCCCAGAATACCAGCTGACAAACTAGGCCGACTCAACATGTTTGCTTTTGCAGGCATTTCGACGGAAGGTGTCATGTTTTGTTTCAATGAGCCGTATACAAATGTAGGTACCGTTGTCTTTTCCGTCTTCTTTGGTTTCGTCTCGGGGACAATCATCTCAGCTGGAACTGCGGCTATCTCAACCCGCACCCAGAATCCTCAAAACATCGGCACGCATATGGGCATGCACATTGGTACCGCAGGGTTTACTGTCTCGATTGGTCCACCCGTTAACGGCGCCCAGGTCGACAATTCCAGTGGTTTCAAACAAGTGGCGATTTTCAGTGGCATTGTTAGCCTAGTTGGCGACGTCCTTATGTTGAATAGGAAGCTCGTCACTAATAGAGGGATTCTGGGTAAAGTGTGAACAGAAGCTGTAAATCGGGTCTTCTTAAAAAATCCGCTAGAAGAGATGTGCTGGCCCATTCTGGGGGATGGAGAGGGGAGCCGTGACTGGGGAGAAGCAAGCAAGTAAAAGAGGGACAAAGGAGATGCAACACATTGAAGTTGTGTTGGAATAGATTGGTTATTGCGTTAGTGGTCATCGAGATAAGAAAGGAAACTCGTAAACAGGCCGGATATCAACGATGAACCGTGTCCCTCTCACTATTGCCCACCACAGGTCCATGATAGAACGCCTAACACCCAACCATCACTCAAGATTTCTGCACGATTGCTCCTCCAGGTTGCAATACCTATAAGCACATGTCGTCATCACATCCAGCTTTTGCTTTGCGTGGCACAGTGGACGCTAGGGCAAAAGGGGCCAGGGCAAAAGGGGCCTCTGGGTGGTCTATGCGGGTATGGGCTCGTAGGTGTTGTGTGCTTGGCGGTTCGAGAAGAGGTAGTAGATGATCATGCCGACAACAGGAAAGAGGAACACGACGAGAGCCCAGATGACCTTGTTGGGCACGGGGCGGTTCGACTTGAAGATCTCAACTGTAGCACGGACGGGTCAGCACGATTGTGGCAGCCAGATGGGTCTATTCTCCGAGAAGGTAGAGCAACACGACTCGAGACCAGTGAAGGAAGGATACTCACTCCATGCGATGATATCGAGAACAAGAACAATGAATCCAACGATGCCTCCTCCGGTACCAGCTTGCCATGGCTCGGCTTTCTGCACGGTAAGAGGAGCTGCTTCAGCCAGCATGAACATGGAGAGCTGAAGAAGCAGGGTGAGGACAATGTTGAACATGTTTGCGGTATTGAAGTCGGCGTTGGATATGAGTGGGAGTAGTGCAGAGTGTCGGGGTGTATCAACGTAGTATGCAAGTAAGAATGAAGCTGTAAAAACCAACTGCTGCCTGGGCTGTATTTGAAGGAAGCATGGAGCGGGGGGCTGGACTGTTTGATGTTTGGCACAGACCTACGTCACTGGAAATTCCGCCTTGTTGCGTCACGCGACCCTTCCCCAACCCAGCCAAGCTGACTCTGCATCTCCATCCTACTATGGATTCCCATGGTTGCGTTCGTCAGACGCACAACTGCACGTCTCCTATCCATGTATGCACGTATGTAGTGTCTACATATGTGCTTTGCCCCATCTTGTCGGTCCAAGCTGCTGCAGCAAAAAAGAAACGATCAACAACGCGCCGGAAACGCGCCTCGGTACAGCCCAAGCCTGGTTATGCCTGCAAAACACTGGTACCACCACCACCACAGCCGTTCGATCGGCGATCCTGTTCAGGAAAAGATCAGCTCCGTGTTGAGATGTCTCGAAGAGCGAGAGTAGTAGAGCCCTTTGGGTGCTGCTTAGCAGCACCACATCCTCAATCCCCATACGGTCTCTTATACATGTGCGCCATACATACATCAAGGAACAGCCACCTGTCCCCACTTCGACTAGCTGAACAGATTCAACAACGCTCTCGAATCCGAGCATGCGATGAGTAAACTGCAGAATGGCAATGCGCAAAACGCCACGGAAATGGTGCCATGGCCACGGTACTCGACCAGAACCACACCGCATCAGCCGCTCCGAGGAAGCAATAAGTAGTGCCGCTTCTCCTTGCAACCAAGACATACAACATGAAGCAACGCTGGCCTTTCTTCCCCTTCTTCCTCATTCCTTTCATCATCATCCTCTCTTTTGACGTTCTTGTCGCATTTCGTTGCTCTTCTTCACCAAGATCTGGCCGACTAAGCTACGGACTCATCATGGCCTACTACATGATGCCAGTAGGCACATTTCCCCTGTTAAGATGCGTGCCTCTGAACATTCCTGTGTCTTCAAATTGTGACCAAGAAGCACTTTCACGAACAAGTTGCAGTCGCGAAATAGCCCCAAGATGGAAGACTGACCCTAATGATATCCCACCCTCCAGTCAGAGGGAAAATTCGATTTGCAAACGCGATACGCAGACACCAGTACGCCGATTTCTGGGCGCTATGAAACCATCAAAAGCAACAAAGCAGTCTTCAGCATTGTCATGGCATCGTGCTGCCCATTCGCCAACACCAGACCGGCCTCTCATCGAACCTTTCTCTAGAGATCCGAAGTATGCAGGCAGCACAAAGCACACCAAAGCAGGCGCAGTGGTCTACAATGCTCATGGGTTCGATCCGATTGTTCTACCCCTCCACTATCATTCCCGTTCGCAGTCTCTTCAGCATCAGTTCCTCCAGGTCACATGCCGCTCCGATGACGAGAAAAGTGATGGCTCTCCTCCACAATACGCGGCGCTCGACCCCAATCCTTTCTCTGGCACCGCAGAAAACAGCCATGATTTACCAAAAACACATAAACCCATCACCAAGCACAGAAAGGGTCTGAAATTCACGGCCAAAAAAATGAAGATGAACGTGCTCAGAGTAATCCAAGACATACCTTCGACGGCTAAAGTGGTTCATGCTCAAATGAACTCAAAACTCAACAAAAGAAACAGAAACATGAGTGTGGAGAACATTGGGTTGTATGGAAAGCTCGCCGATCGAGATGGTGAAGTCAAGAAAAAAGCTGCAGGACGTGGGGTATATTAGCCGATAGACAGGTCGAGAGGCATTGTTTTGTTCTGGATTTACATGGCGTTGAGTACATGGAGAAGCGCGTAGTCTTTTCGGAGCGTGGAGTTTGACTTCAATACATCAAGACAGCATTTGGTGAAAAAAGAACAGACGGTCAATGGAACAGCTCGATCTCGGTCTCTCATATACTGAATACAACATCAAAACAATCCCACTTTCATTAGGAGGCGTCTCCTTACCATCCTGGTCATCCTTCAGCCATCCAATCGTTGCTTTGACCTCAACAGCGGGTACGTTCTACTGTTGAAAGTGGTCGAACCTGCCCCGCTCGCTAAGGGTAGAGGGCAGCAAACGCTACCTTACAATATAGGGTCATTTAGCAACTACTGTCTTGCAGGGATTGTTGGTCGTTATAGATATGAACTCATCTACCGAGCCGTTGGCTTACCCTGGGACCCAAGCCCGGATAGTCAATGTTGCCTCGTGGCAGAACGCTCCATGGTGGCTTTTCTTAAACATCGTAACTCCTTCAAGATGCCGCATGCGCCAACATGGCTCACAGTACGTTATTCCGCGGCAGCATATTGCACAACGTGCGCATGCAAAAGAAGCACGATACCGCGCGACATTAGGAACATACAAAGGCAGATGACACAGGCTTCGCTAAAATGGATCCGCTTATCCAATTAATGCTGCCGACGATGCTCTTTACTACCACATACCTTGAAAGAGTCGAGCCAGTTTCTCAAAGCAGGGGCTCTTGGATACAAATACAGGGTGTACGCGGGAATACAAGGGCCATCTTGGACTCTTCGCATGCAGGATCAGCGTAAGATGAATTGCTGGCACGGAGCACTATGCGGAGCAACTTTCATCGCATTGGATATTGCGGCACTCGGAAAGCAATACGTCTTCTGCAAGTTTCCCGTCGCTACCTGCTTGTTTAGAGCATACCCCACTACGAAGGTTGCTTAATATGTCTCGAAATCTCGCGGTGCAGCTCATCATCGAACGTCCTGGCGGCCGACGCTCAACGTCTCGCCACGAAACCCTGACCTTCCATGCTTCAAGGCTTGCCGGTTAATAGCGATATTGCGGCAAGTTGCGTGTCAACAGTATTGTCAGACACGAGGCCCCTAAAGAGCATGCATCAGCGCCATGACATGGGGCATGGACCTGGCGTTCGGATACACGGACCATTGAGGAGCGAATCAACCGCCACGACCAACCACACCCAAAACTTTATGGGAAACCTAACTATGGATATCGGGTAGACCAGTCACGCCTATCTTCTCACTCAGACATGTTACTCATCACCATCAGGTAAAATTCCAGAATTCATGTCAGGCCATGGACAACCACCCAATCGCCCGTGATACCGAATGCCTTATCGTCTGGGGATGCCGCTATACCGCTTCCATCCCCTGCCTTATCACCCACCCAAGGTCCCTGCATCCACTGCTTTCTACACGCCCCGTTTTAGGCCAACACTCGCTTCCAGGGCTTGGGAACTTGGGATACGTGCCTCGGCGCGCTTGACTTCTTTGCCCTCAATCTCGGCTTGATCCCACGAGCCTAATCCAGCGGTGCAGGCCTTGCGCTCCACCAACTGCGCTCCGCTCCTTCGACATTGGACTCAGAATGCCTTCCTTATCTTTGCCAAGACCGTATTTCACTCGACGTTTGAGGCACAGCGGCCTCGGGTATGAGTGTGGAAAGAGGTCATGGACCGGGATTAACAGCGTATCAATCGCGGCCCTTTGTGGGGTGCGGCAAGCCATCGAGTGATATGCCCCGAAGTATATGTACGATCCTGAGTACTCTTTTGCGCGCTGGATCATCCGTCCCATAATTTGTCTTGAGGCTCGACTTTTACAGCAAAACTCGAGGTCTCTACACCATGGAGCCAGCATCAGCCGTAAGTGAGATCAGTAACGGCTTCTTCAGTCGTGAACGGGACAACTGACACATGGACAGCCAGAGTTTGACCCGGCGAAGCCCAATGGCGGCAACCCGGACCAAGAAAATGTCAACCTCCAGTATACTGGACTGGAGTTCCATTACGTCTATTTGATGATAATGGCCTTCCTGGTCTTCCTGATCATACCAGGAATCGGTTTCCTATACTCTGGTCTTGCACGCCGCAAGTCCGCCTTATCGTTGCTCTTTCAGTCGTTTGCTGTGATGGGCGTGTAAGTTCAACGACGGTCCATTCGGTGTAGCCAGGCTTGCTAACAGTGTAAAGCGTGACTTTTCAGTGGATGTTCTGGGGCTACTCTCTCGCCTACTCGCGTACTGCTAGCCCATTCATTGGTAACATGGCCAATTTCGGTCTCAAAGATGTGATGTCTGCACCATCACCTGGATCTCCACTCTTGCCAGAGATCGTCTTCTGTAAGCGATATATGTCCAATCAGCTAATACATGGTATACTGACTGATCATGTAGGTTTGTACCAACTATTGTTCTGCGCGTGTACTGTGCAGCTCGTTATCGGTGGATCTTTTGAGCGTGGACGTATTCTACCATCCATGGTCTTTGCCTTTTGCTGGGCAACCATTGTCTACTGCCCGATTGCTTGCTGGACCTGGAACGCGTATGTTAAATTCGACAACAGATGAGTTATATCACAGCTAACAACTCAATAGCAACGGTTGGTTGTTTAATCTCCCCTCCCTCGACTTTGCCGGAGGTGGCCCTGTCCACATCGCATCTGGATGGTCTGCACTCGCGTATGCCTTCGTCCTCGGCAAGCGTCTCCACAAGGGTGACAAGATCCATGGAAAAGCACATAACCCCACACTAGTCTTCATAGGTACCGTCTTTATCTGGTTTGGATGGTTTGGCTTCAACGGAGGCAGTGCGCTCAATGCCTCCGTCCGCTCCATGGTAGCTGCCTTCAACACGAACACTGCCGCATCTTTCGGTGTGCTTGGCTGGGTCATGGTGGAGTACGTCCGCACCAAAGGACACTTTTCCGTTGTTGGTGCTTGCTCAGGTGCCATCGCTGGACTCGTAGGGATTACTCCAGCAGCAGGATACGTCTCTCTCTGGATCGCCGCACTTATCGGCTTCCTTACCGGTGCCATCTGCTCTCTTTGCCAAAATGTCGACAAGTGGATCAAGATCGACGAGGGCATGGACGTCTTCAAACTGCACGGAATCGGAGGTATGGTCGGATCTTTCCTCACTGGTATTTTTGCGCAATCATGGGTCTACGATCTTGACGGTATGGGCCCTTACGATGCTCTTGGTGCCATGGATGGTGTCGGCGTCCAGGTCGGGCGTCAGCTCGCTGAGATTGTTGCGATTGCATCTTACTCGTTCGTCGTCTCGTGCATCCTTTTGTACATTCTCAAGTTCATCCCGGGCATGCACCTTCGTGTTACCTCAGAGGCGGAGATGATGGGCCTGGACCTTGACCAATTTGGAGACGAGCAAATCGGTGACTGGAGTTTGATGGAGCAGAACCACTACGAGGCAAATGCTAGCAGCGCGAGCAGTCACAACTCACCAGCAGCAGCTGTTGGCAAGCAGGCTTAGATGGCGTAATGCATTAGATCGGGTTGCTGTAAAGAGCAGTGTGGAGTTCGGTTTGCTACCGAAAATAGCTTGGATCCTCGGTTCCTAGTTGTAATGCTTTAGAATAAACCAGAATCATTTTTAGAAGTAATGTAGATCGATCCCGTTCACTTCCAGTGAGCCAGTGCGAACACATTCAGGGTATTCCAATTTTGTGCCGCATACATGGTATTCATAGTAAAGCAGTTCTAGACCAGTACGCACGTAGTGAACCTTTGAAGTAATGCAATAAACCGGTGATGAAATGCAACATGATGTGAACGATGATATGAACAATGACTAGTCGAGTAGACAGGACAATGGTGGAGGATTAGAACGCCTGCTCGTGAATGGTGATAGCATCGCACGGACCTCGCGCTAGTCGGACCGACGCCATTGGAAAGTTCGCACCAGCACACCCACATCTCCACCACGCGCTGCATCTGGATCACTCGTCTCATGTCGGCGTTTAAATTTGCTGGGCCACTATTGCGGCTGACATGCCGTATATCTCGAGCGCCGAGGCTACCAAAATATCGTCACCTTCCTAATCAGCTGCGTAGCTTTTCCGAGACGCGTGCACAACGTGTACCACAAAGAAGAGCGCCAAGGCCTTCCAATGAACAATCACACGTACCGCAAAACACACCGGAAATTTCAGAGAATCTTGTAAAGGAACACCCAACAGTTCGTACCGATGGAGGCAGTCATTCCCCAGCACTAGAGTTAGATCAAGATGCGATCCTAGAGCAACTCAAACATATCAAGGTCCGATACTTACGGCCGGCCATATGGGCTATACTTGTATCGAGTGGAATATTTGTCGGCCTTTCCTATTTGGAAGCTAAGAGAGAGCTCAAAGATCAGTCTACATATGCTGGAGGATGGCTTCCAAAGCCGCAATGGGCCCTTCCTCGGCGCACTGCACCAACTCCAACTGAAGTTGCTACTGAAGCGTGGAACAGCCTGGATCCTATCTCAAGAATCACATACGGAATCATTGGAGCCAACAGCGGGATTTATCTGAGCAGCTTCATCATGCCTCAGACATGGGATACGCTCTGGCATCTCCCTATCCGCAATGTTAATTACACCCAGTTTACGTCCATGTTTGTACATTCTGGAGCGTTGCATTTCTTCGTAAACATGTACTTCTTGAACAACTTCATGAAACCAGTTGGATATTCCCGCCTTTTTGAGGGTAGTCCATACCATACCTTGTCTTTCTTCTTATCAGCCGGTGTGCTGTCTGGTTTCGCGCAGCATTGGTCAACTTTGATACCCATCCAGAAACGACCCATCCCCGAGATTTTCATCCGCTGCGGAGGAGCTTCGGGTGCGCTCTTTGGAATTCTCGGTGTCTTCTGCATGCAGTACCCCCATGCTGGACTAGGAATCTTGTTTGTCCCTGTGCATTTTGAGGCTCAACATGTGCTGCCCGCCATCATGCTTTTTGATTTTATCGGTATGATTCGCGGATACAGCTTTGTAAATTTCGGGCATGCAGTAAGTTCTTAGCCCGGTCTCTCATGAACAAAACCACTAACATTACTAGGCTCATTTTGCAGGTGGGCTTCTGGGTGTGGCGTATTCTCAGCTCGATGGAAAGACAAACATCTGGAAGCCACTTGTGAGATATTGGAAGCTTCAGTTACAACAGCAATCCTGATTTCGCATTGTCTTAAACACTGCGTTTGTATTATCAGATACTTTGCAAATCACCCTCCTGTTTTGCAAACCATCGATATACCACTGTACATTAGAAAATCACATTTTGCTTGTCTCAATACAGCACCTGCAAGTCAATAAAGAACAAAACATGATATAAACTACACTCAAATGCAAGACTAGGTTTGTCTATATTGCAAACTCAAGACAAAGGTGCTTCAAGGCACAAACCACCCAATAGTCAGACCTAAGACATCTTCAAGGTTGATAAAAGGGTGTATCTCACTTCATTGCATGACAATTCAAGAACAGTTGCGCCATGCCTGCCGGACCCATTTGGAGCAGCCTCACCATCGCAGTTGGTACTTATCCCAATCATCTTACCCATATCAGACTCAGCCATCACATGCGCGAACGCTGTCTAAAGCTTGGTGCATTGGCGCCCGGCGATGTCTTACCGAATGTGGAGGTCCATCCTTTCTGCATTTTGCTCGCCTACCTGAATGGCGATGAATCTCTTTCGGTCTTCAAAAGACAAGCCACCGATCCCAGCTTTCTTCTTATCTTTGCGCATACATGGGCACTGGCAGCTCGTCTTAGCCTCCGAACGCTTCAAAATGAGCTAATCTCAGTTGTGAGTAAACTCTACACCGTGATCAACGAAGGAACATGCAGTTATCAGCGATGCACTTGGACAGATATCTATCTCCTTCAAGCCTTTCAGCACATCCGCTCGCAGTTCGGACCAGAAACTCACGCTGAAAACTTTCTCGTGTGCTTCAGTGGTAGAACAGCGCCATTAATTGGCGAGCTTGAGAAACAGCTGAGAAGCAAAGATTTCGACTTTGATATCCAGGAGAAGATATTGAAAGAAGCCCGGTCATTTGAGCGAGACCTCATCATACACTGTCCTCACATTTTCCACGTTAGCACATTGAACCCGCCAAGTTACCCTCCACTCGATGTACAACGATTGCCACAAGATGAGAGCTCAAATGCCGATGCGACAAGGTTACATTCCAACACATCATCTTCTGCCACTAATGGTCGCTTCAATTCGAGCGAACGGAACTACCGCAGCTCATTGGAACATGAAATACGTATTCTTAGAGAGTCTGGATCTCCCCATGCGACTTCAGAGTCTTCAAATATTTCATACCAGAGGCAAGCTAACAGTAAGTTAGATTCGATGGTGCACCTTACAATCCGCGACCAAGATGCGCCAGACCGATACAGTCCACTTTATACACAAGATCCCGGCGACACGAGCAGCTCCGTCGTGAACGAAGGTCGCAAACTCAATCTAGGCTATGCGACTCCAGAGCATTACCTTCCAATGTCACATATGCATCCAACGCTACCTCCGTCCAGCGCCATGTCTCCTTCCGCCTGTCACATTCAGACACCGTGTATGATTCAGATCCTGCAGAAGAATAACGAGCCTCGAACCGACAACAGCAATCGTTTTCGCGGGAGCAATGATGACAAGAAAAGAGCAAGCCCAAGTATTCCTGGTGTGCGAGAGAATAGCAGCGATACAGCACGAGTGAGCGCTAACAATGCGCGACATGGTGAGCGGGTTACGCGAGAGAAGAGGCGGAGGCGATATCGATGGTTTTCGCTCCTGACATGTGGAGTTACATATCAATAGTTCAAATCAGATTTAACGGCAAAAGAATTCGATATCATAGTTTTGTATACACAACACATCATCTAATCCAATAATCACTTCCTCCTCTATCCCTCCCCCCATCATATGATTGTACGTATTCAAAGAAACAACAGGAATAACAACAAAACCACCAAAGAGCCAGCTCACCCCCCATCCATGTCCAGCATATCCCCTCCTTTCAATCTTTCAAAAAGTAAGTTTCCGAACCAACCCCCTAACCTCATTCCTGACACTGACCCCCATCTTCGCAACCGTCCTCTTCACCCCTCCCATCACGCACCCACTCGCACTCGCACTCGCGCTCCCGCTCCGACTCCGGCCACCCTTCCACTTCTCCTCCGTATCCCGGCGGATAATCTCCATACTATCAACCGTACACAGCGCCAGCGTGACGAGGTCGACGTCTGCGCACTCAGCGCCGTTATCTTCGGCGTCTCCATCGTAATCAGCATCCGGGGAGGTGGGACGAGGTTGCCAGTGGGAGCGGGTGTGGCTGAGATCTGCCATTTCGATGTTGACGTACAAGGATTTGAAGGTTTTGTATTGCTGGGTCCGGGATCGACGGGTGAGTTTTGGGAGCGGGAAAGGGCTTCTTTTTGAAGGGGTTGGTGGAGGTGGTGATGTAGTGGTGTTGTTGAAGATTCTGGTCAAGGGGTATGTGAAGGGGTATGTGTAGGATTGAGTGCGTGACAGGGGGGCTGTGGTAATGGAGGATATGCTGCGGTTTGATGCGGGAGTGTCCATTTTGGAGGTGTTTGGAGGGATTTGCTTGGTGTTGTGGAGGCTTTGAGGTTACCACAAGGTGTAGTACTTTGTTCTGTGCGTTGATGTTTACGGTGATAACTGGATGGGAGGCTCAGAGTACGGAGAATTCTCTTATATATCATTCATGAAGGCATCAAATGCGGTGTTATTTACTTAGTTTTCTCAACTATGGATCGGAATGTGTGCGTACCACAGTTGATACTTACGGGACATGAACATCACAAATGTAGTTGGTCTTTTATATGCTCATGTCTTCCTGTCTCCTATAAACCAGTCGAATTACATTCTGTCTGACATTTACGCATCGTTCGTAAACGTGTGTGGTTGGCGTTTATGCATGGTTGTGACCTACGACCAATAGCTCGAGGAGTGTCCCAAATCAATTCCCTCACTCCCAAATTCCCAACCATCCTGCACTATTTCGAACACCTGTCAAAAGGATCTGTGTTGCGCTCTATGGGTAACCCTGACGCCTGAGAGATTTGTAAAATGTCACCGCGGCCTTCCAGGTACTAGCTGTCCTAACTCGCCTGCCATCTTACTGAAGAGCTGATCAACCGTTTCAGCAAACTTCTTCACTTCATGTCCCAGATCCTGATGGTGAGGACTCTGAACAGAGGCACTATCTGAGATTTCCATAAGTTCGGGCACGCGCAACACCTTGTAGGCTGTGAGTTGCATCTGCTTCTCGCAATGCGTACAGTACCAGCGCGATACATTCTCCATACCAAGCTTCTTGACACACGACTTGTGAAAGTTCTTGATGGCACAATGTCGGTATGAGCACGTTATCAAGTCTCTGCGTAGAGAAGGACATGGGTTCTCCGGCATTGCGATACTGCAATAGCAAATGCGGGGCTATCCAGGCTTCCCAGAGGCTTTGCGCTGAATCTCTGGCAGTGTATCCTGTATAAGCCGTTGGTTCCTGAGCTTGTTGCTATATTTGATACGATGGTATAAACCCTCCTGTTTCATAAGAGGTCCAGGCCCAAAACCATCATGGAAATCTGCAATCTCCTGGGCTAGACGTCCTGGTTCAAAGTCCAGATTGGGAAACCTAGCTGGATTCGATGGGCCTCCCGTGAGATAGTTAATGAAATCAGCATCAACGAGCATCAGGCAGCCCTTAACTCTAGTATCTTTTTCGTAGATTGATAATAGCTTTTCACCACGAAGACGGTTGTAAGGCCCACTAGTACATGGCTTGTCACCAGGCATAATAAGGAAACATTGGTCTGGCATGTGGTCGACGCAAGGGCAAGCTGGACTTGTATTAGTACTTGGTGCTAGGAAGTAACTAGACTGCACGTACGAGGCGGGTGGAATGGGCAGTCCAAGATATGGTTCTTCTCGAAAATGCACCAAGATTCGTATGAGCAGCCACCCCACAATGGCAGGCAAGGATTTGTCAATTGATCTGCAGTGAACTTGAGTACAAAACTTCTCCAATGTGATTGCTTCCCATGCGTTGTGACTGGCAAGGGTCCAGTGGGGAGGTTGTTTGATACATCCTGAAGGGACGCTGTGGCAGATCCGGTATTCTTTGATGTCTGAATCATATCATAGCCAACACTGACTACATCTTGAATGGGCAATGCCAGTGAAATTTCTTCCGTGTCGGAGTTCTGACTGCCAGCTTCCAACACTGTTGAAATGCCACAGAGTGATGTATCAGCAGCTTCGATGACTTGGTTGTTCGCTCCTTTGCTGGCGATGGAAGCTTCAGTGTCTCTCATCATGCCAAGTTTCCTAGCCTTGCGATTCGCCTCGCGTAGTTTCTTGGATTTCTTCTTTTGTGAAACTATAAAATGCTGGGTGGCAGCTTTCTCTACTGGTTCTGTGGCGAAAGTCTCTGGTCCTTTAGATAATGGGGCTAAAGAACCCTTGACAGCCGGGGCATTAGAGAGAGGTTCATCAAAAGAGTCGCGATTCGCAGAACACTGGTCCAAGGGTGATATTTCTGTGTGCAATGGGGGCCGAGCGAGCTGAGACTGCTGGCTTGAGAAATCATCCCAGACAGGCAGCCTAAGAGCGGGTGCTTTCGACCTTGTACCATCGGTAGTAGTGATCCAGCCATCTGAGGATGATGGAATAACTGTCTTCTTCACATGAGCTAACATGGGTTTTGCAGCTTGCTGTATTGTCTTGGTGTTGGTCACTCTCACTGAAACAGGCGCTCGACCAGGAGTAGGATCTGGCAGCAGAGGTAATAATGGCGCTTGGTAAGGCTCAATGCTCGCCTCTTGAAGCCCGTCATCACCATTTACACGCTGATGTGTGGTCTCGAGATGCCTTCGGTCAGGACCGTCCCCTGCCCAGCTTTTTCTCGGCTGCTGATTCTCTTGCTGATCACTGGTCTGATGTTAGCTTTCTACCCCGTACAACAGATGAAGTTGAATTTGAGGAATGGCAAATGGACAACATACCTTGATGACACATTGCTTTCCGTGGCTGGGATTTTCATGACACTCGGATTGACTGCAATTGTCGCTGATTTCCCACCCATTTTCCAGCTTTTTGTGGAATATCTGTCCGCTAAAATCTCATACGAAGCTCTGTTGACGTATCGTAGATAGCCCGCTCGTCGCATGCGCACTTCCGCAATATCTCTCTTGGCTTGCACAATGTCTTCAGTTATAGCCAATTCTAAGACATTGACAAGAGTGAGCAAGCTTTCCAGCTCTTTTCCATGCAGACCTCTTGTGTTGGTGTTACGTTTGAGTAGCCTGGTGATGTGAAAGATGTTCAGGATGCGGTCCATCTCGGCGTCAAATCCCGTTTCTTGCATCTTGCCGGAATTGTCTGTGAGACTTCCAAGTCGGTCGCGGTTTCCTCGTGCATTGTATACCTGCGCATGATACTAGGCGATTGTTAGCGAAAGGACTATCATAGACTGGTCACAGAAGCCACTGTCAGGCTACTTACGCGAAGCTGCTTCTCAATCTCATCAACCTCTTCAGGGTTGCGCGGCCCTTCAGTTTCATTGCTAGACATTCCGTCGGTAGAGTGGATGATGGAATCGATGTATTGAATCTCTTCCTGGGTGATCACTCTTGACCTACTGGCTGCTCTCATCAGACGCTTTGCGTCCTTCTTCTCGCGCTTTGACGGCAGTATGCCTGCAATCACGGCTACGCGGTCATCCTCGGTACCATAGTCACACGAGTTGTTGGTATCTCTCGGTGTCTCTTCAGCCGCAATGTTGGGTGCGGATGGAACTATAGTCCAATCGACCTCGCCGCAGCTCTCGTAGATAGCGTGCAGCTGCTCAGCAATATCTTGGTGTCTCTTGTAGTGGGCCTCGTCAATGGCTAGACAGTGTTTGCAGGTATGGCCGCGCAGGCGCATGAACATGGCCTGCACTATGTCAATACTTCATTAGCTATGAGAGAAGTTGATAACAAACCTGATGGAACCGCACACATGGCTCACTATGCTTCCCGAAGCAAGAAGTCTTTGCACTTGGGTGCTTCAGAGAACGCGCGCAAACTCCGCAATGGTGCCTACACTGGTTAGCAAGGCGCTATAATCGCAGTGGGATGACATAACAAGGAAAAACAACAAGAAAAATATAAACAAAACGGAAGGTGTCATACTTAAGCGCTTGCGAATCTTCCCACTTGAATAACAAGCCATTGGCCATGTTGTCTGCTTGGATATGTTCCCCTGATTGGCCTGCTACTGAACAGGGCAGGGGTTGAGTAAGGAAGCAGAAGTCTAGGCGATTTCGGTAGCGGAGGTACAAAATAGTTGTACGGCTGAAACAAGGCGTTTGCTTGACGCAGAAGATGAGGTGAGTGAGAACTGCGCCTCAGTACAAGCTATTTGGGAAGGTGGGTGACTGCGTAATTCACTGTGGACGAATGATACGTGATCTAGGCAATTTATGGAAAGAGCGTGAATATAACAAGTAGACAGAAACTGAAATGACCGGACATGGCAAAACAAGTATACAGCATTGCGAGCGAATTCACCAAGAAACGAAAGGAGATGTGTGTGGCGGGGAGGGACCCCTAACGCTGCAGTGAAGGCTGCAGTGAGCCGCTGTTGTTCCGCCCATCCACCACTACTTCGTCCGGCTGCGAAACTACACGCGTCATAACCGCATCCAAGTCACATATGGTTGTTAGCCTACCACTACACATCTGTCACGATACGGGCACCGGCCCAGACATAAGGATAGTTACGCTGGTACCAGTTGACGCTTAAACATGTCAGCGACACAATCTCAGCTATACTCGCTCCGCTGCACTTACAATGTCTTACGCCCAGCAATGCGCGGATGCGTCGCCCAGGATCCACCCAGAGTTATGTTGTGTTTGCCGTCGAAGAAGTCGGCTGCTTGCTGTCAGCGATATGATATTGCATGTAAGCCGAGCGATAGAAGCCCGTAGAAGTTCCCCATACCTGTGTAACCTGGATAGAGCTCCATCGGCTCAAAGCCATCATGCTTCTCCAGCACAGTACTAGTCCATTCCCAAACACCGCCCAGATCAGATTGCCCACAGAGCTTGTTGCCCTTTTCGGCCACCGAGACTGGGTGCCAGTGCTTGAAACCCACATTGGTCCCCTCAAGGTCGATGAAGAGATCGCGTGGCTTAAGACCGGTTGCTGCGCCGGAGTTGCCGTTAGACAAATGGTGTGATGGCGGTGTCTCAAACACGCCTTCGTTAAGCAGGTGGCTGTGTTGTGTTAGACATTTGACTCTTCCTGACTGACTCTCAAAAACGTACCCGTTGACTGCTGGTATCGTGTTGCCGAGCGACTGCTCAAACTCTGGCTTGATACTGTCGACATAGGCGTAGATACTTCGTGCCTCTTCCATGGTGGGGATGCGACCGCCCATCCATTGCGCGCACCCAGCAAGCTCATCATAGGATGCGACAACAGGCCAGCCCATGGCCAACTTCAATGGAATAGTTCCGTAAACTGTACGCACAAATCTTCCTTTAGTGATACTCTGCGAGGATTCACCATTGCCATTCGAGTGACCATTGACAACACTGTCTCTCTTCCCGGTATTTGCACCGTCACCGTTGGAATAAGCCTTGTCCCACCAAGATGCAGGTATTTCTAGTCGAGCCAAAGTCAGCAAGTTGTATTCATGTAACGATGCAAATGATCCTGGAATTACTGAAACAAAATCAACATGTTGTGTGCGAATGGTACGCACCTTTCTTGCCTGTCTGGAGCAGGTATGTGGCATACTCTCCATTTGTAATAGGCCGAGCCTTGGCACGGAAGGACTTCACGTGTACTGATCGACGGGGTCTCTCATTGTCCCAGCCAAAGTATCGTTTGCTTCCAAAATCTTTCTCTGGGTCATTGAGTCCGATGTCTACGTCAGACTCTGGGATCGTGAACCACTCGTTCTCAACAGCCATAACTTCTGACTGTGCAGCAAAAGCAGCAAAATCCGGTGGTTTGATTCCTGGAGGTGGCAAGATCTTGTCACTTTGAATAAGCATATAGAGCAAGGTCTCCAGATGCATTGCCTCATGCTCAAAGGCTATCCATAATCCCCGCGAAACACGGCCGTTGTTCTCTGCTTCTCCAGAATCGTAGAGCGCTTCAAGATTCTTGCGAATGGTCTGTTGGTATTGCAAAATCGTATCCAATGGCGGCCACTCTTCAGGGACTTCAGAGTGGGCATGACATAAGGTTGGGTCATCAACATCAGGATCTACACCACGCTCGAAGATCTTCCAGAAATAGGCGGGTTCTGTGGGCTTGCCATCGGTGGCACGAGCGATGTGGATGTCGAGAAATGTAGGAATATGGCCTAGGTAGAAGATGCACTCGTTTCGGAGTTTGATCGGCTTGGCGAGCAGTTCGCTATTTGGGATCATATGTTTCGAAACGGCATCCCAGGCTTTCCATAGTTCCTGCCACTCAGTGAGAGAAGGCACGGGCTTTGCCGCATACTCTTCTGGCGTAGTAGGGAAGAAGAATGAGGGCTTGGAAACCATGTGAAGACCTAATACTATCAGATGTGTCATTGTGCCATCATCTTTAGTGCGTACTCACCATAATCACCCTTTGAATTAGCCCACACCGTGTTCTCAGCCAGTTTGGCGAGCTCCCAGAGCTTCTTGGCTTCTTCGTGGCTGTACTTATAGCTCTCCTCGATTCTGATTCTCTCGCCCTGCTTGATTGGAACTCCATCGATGACGACATCTTTACGCGGTGCTACAAAAGCATGATGTCTCCCAGCCTTTATATCATACTCGCCAATGACTTCCCAGTCGTCCAAGTTAAAGGCGGTTTCCCCCATGAGATCGTTTGCGTGCTTGAGTCCGTTGAGTATGAATCTGTGGGTAACACCGTCGCGGTCGTTATAGGCATGGAACACACGCTAGCGTAGGTCGAAGGTCAGTATTTATCTTGCGTACAATTCGTGGCAGGAAATATACTTTGGGATCTTTGCAGGAATCGATGCCGATAAGCATGGTATCACCAGTTTGTAATACTTTGCCGAACCCGGCAAGGAACGGCGGTACTTCATGACGCTTGAAGTTGCCCAAACTGGAGCCTAGCCAAAGGATCGTCTTGGGTTTGGCTTCGACGGCGGGGGACTTGAGCCACTCCAGAGCGTCATCGTACGTTCCGTGGAGCCCGAAGCATTTGACATGGCTATACCCCTCTACGCGGGTGGTCAGCAAGCCTTCGTAATCAAGGAGTCATGTGGCATTGCCATGGCGGCTATGCGATAGATAGATGGGTACTATGGTAGACTAGCGCGGGGTTTGTTGAGTTGTACATATGCAGACCCCAGGCGAACCCCGATGACGGTCGCCAACGCTTTTACCTTGGACTAGAGCAGATAAAGGCGCTTATTCGTGTAACTTATCCAATAACGCCGTGTCGAATTGCGCTCACTTACCTATGGGTATCTCTTTGAAGGTTCTTTCCAGCTCAGGTAGGGACAAGTCGACGGCGTAGTATTCAATGTCTTTGCCCAGACGATCAATGGCCTGCAACAGTATGTTGACTTTTCTCAGATTGCTGCACAGATATTAGTACTTACGAAGCACGAGGCTCGTTTCCAATCTCTTGTATGGTGAGAGCCGAGATCCTACCCGCTCCCCAATTCCACCACGATTGATCCTGGGGAAATGCATTGGGCTATTTTATCTGCATACGTCTCAAGTACTTCAATCTCGGCATTAGTCAGGTAGTACCTGATGCGAAGGATGTTTGTCAGCCTGACAGCCAAGCCCCTAGTGGATGGAGTTCCTCACTCTTCCTGGTATGTGATTTGTTCGAACAGACGGAGTCCTTCCTGGCTGTGAAGATGGGGAGGACATTAGCAAGTACCTTTAGCTTGATGTGTGCCTGCTTACTCGTAGAGCAGCAACGTGGGCAAGGTTTTCTCGGCACCGGCATCCGGCCGAAGGCCTTTTTTGATATCTGCGAGGATATCTGATTCAGCTGTATCGATACGAATGTTGATGATTTTGGCGGCCATATTGTTGCAAAGCTTTGGGTCAGTTTGTTTTGGTGCAAGTGTTGGCTCGAGACGAGCAGTCTTGTTGGTTTCAAAAAGAGCTGGATGCTGCGTAATACTTATAGTAGGTTGGAGAAAAGTACGTAATGTGGGTACCTAGAAACTTATGCTATGCGGTAGCTGACGGTAACTAAAGGCCCGGTAGATGTGCATCCTAAACATCTCAATAATACATGACCAAGGCGTTTCCCGGACAAGTTTAACCTGACTAGTGGCTGTGGTGTTCATGTCACCCGCCACAGGACAGCAAATCAAGACGGCTATGCCTCTCACGCTCCGCAGCGGTACGCCAGAAGCGCTTATGGCGTAGAGAGGATGCTCCCGTCGTCACCAGGAACCCCGCCTCAGCAGATTGTAGAACAAGTCGCATTGGGACCCGCAAGAAGGATAGCTGGCTGACAGATGGATGCTCTGGATGCTGTAGGGCTACAGTGGTGACGTCAATGTCTACTGAACGAGGATGGGCAGGGGAGTTTAACACCCATGGCCAGCCATGCAGCTAGAGTACGTACGCACATCCTGTGATGTGGGGAAACCAAGGCCGAAAAACCCGCTCAGGCACACGGTGCACGGCGCCGTATAGTAGCACCTCCAGCATGGCCGCGACAAAGCGCGAAGAGAATATCCCGGCCTGATTGTACTATGTGTATGGACAACAGTGCTGCGGGGTTGCTGAGTAGCCTGCATGGCCTGCATAGCCGATGCCGTCACAGCGGAGCCAGATACGGAGCTTGACACATGTGTCCGAGTAATAAGAAAAAGGAAGTGCATCCACACAAGATGAGGTGAGAACGGCACAGCTGGATGGATGGGGTTTGATGTGATGCTCGGCTGGCTGCAGATGGATCGGTTGTATCGAGGGATTGAGTTTCATCCCAGCGTTTATTACTACTTGGGTACGTACTGCGGGGGAAGGCAGGAGGAGTGGAGCCTCATCTACTACTACATACGACATGCCGCCATGTCCCAAGTACGCCTACTACACACAAGCAACAGGCTCATCACCCAACTACGGAACCTGCCAGCCGCTGGTCTATATACGACAACGTCCTTGGCCATGAACGATTACGACAGCATTACACGCATGCAGGTACCGACGCGGCTGACGCACTTTGCTTCAACGGCCGCGAAGAAGCCGGCTACCCTAACCACCATGGCGTGACCTTGTACCTATTCGGATAATCATATCGCCAGCCTCATCCTGTTCAAGAACCGGTCTGATGAGCATTGCGAATGAATTTCTGGAAATCCCCTGCCCGACGCCTGTTTTCCCATCCAGAGTCCCTTATCCCCGGTATAATGATGCGCATCTTATGCTGCCCACCATTTACCTACGGCGTCCCCCCTTGCATACCAATCGCGCAACGTTGTCATGGGCCAACAACGACCGCGCCTAGGGCTGTGGAAAGGAGTCGGAAGGTACCTTCAGTTGTCCTCAGTATCGGTTGAATAAAGCTGAATATGGGCATCTTTAGCCACTAGAAATTGTGGGCCCTTGCTTGCAAATGCTCCTTTCACGCCCCAGAACGCCAGAAAGCTTCTCGTACAAAGACATCAAGGAGCCTTCTTCGTAGTCTGCGCTACCCGATTTTAGCCAGCTCGGACCAATTGCAAGGCGCCTTTGACCAACTTGCTCTAAAATGCTCTCAGCACACGGTACTCGCCGGCAAGCCTCCCACAACCCCTTTGTGGCCCTTCTGATTGTCGGAAGCGAACAATAACAAAATAGTACCATTCCGAGGGCTGTGGCGTTCCCAGCTGCTGGATACGAGAGTCGCATTCTGCACCATGACCAAACGGCGCGAACCTAGCCTCTGGTTGCGACGCTCGTGATCTGGCTGTTGTGACGGGCTTTCAGTAAATGCTCTTCGAAAGACTTCCTTGATTCCTCACTCCCCTTTTGCCTCACGAACTTTGCGCCTCCTGAGTTATTGGAACAGCCCTTTGCCAAGATGACGTGATCTCCATTGGATTCTAGACGTGGTAGCCCGCCGCCTCCGCCCATGGTGCGAGGAACGGCTTCAGCCGACCCCAGCGCCAGCCTTGATTTCCCATGCCGGACATAACCATACAATACCCTGGTGTCTGCCTCACGCTGTATCTGTCCTCTTGAGACTCCGTAGAGACTTTCATATCAATCCCCCTGTCCATGCCTTTCATCATGAAGTGTTATGCCGATCTACGCCAGTCTTGGATGGCCTCCACCATGCATAGTGGCTTCTTCTCCCCCATCGAGGACACTTTTTCCCATTCCGCCCAGGTGTCGAGGCTAGAGCTTGAAAAGGAATTATTGGAAAACGAACTCGCCAACTGCGTTACCTATTTGCAGGTGCTACGGAAGAAGCAAACTCGGAATGAGCGGCGGCTTGCTGCCGACTCATCCTTACCTGTTAGGAAAAAGAAGAAGATCCGACAAAGTATGCGTGAACTGGAGAAAGAAATCCAAAATCGAGAGCGTGATAAACAAGCATTTCTCAACAATCTCCAAGCTTGCAAAGCAAACATCTATCTCGCCGAGACAGTGTCTTCGCCATCTACAACAGTCTTGTCAACGATACCGGACCTTGCCTCGGACTCTACGCTATGTTCATACCCGGAAGAACCCGAAGCCACAGATGGGCAGTGGAACGGTTGGGCGGACAAGATGGCATCATCTCCGTTTCAAAAGGATTGCAGCAACTCTTCCTCTGTTGAAGACTTCGCACCAGATGACCATCCAGGTGTTGATGGGTTCGATTTAGCAACCACCAAAAGCACAGTATGTGCACAGTATGTGGCACAGACAGGCGCTACGTGGCCTTTGCCCATGACTTGCACATCAAAGCAGTTTGTGTTCAGCCCTGAGGCTGCTCTCTTTGAACCACGAAACGCGCACAAGGATCAGGATTTGCAGTTGGATCAACAGTTCGCTGAATTACATCTTTCCTCGCCAATAGCAGCGGCAACGTTGGACGGCACGGGATGGGGTAGTGGCATGGATAAATGTAGCCTCACCAAATCTGTCACTGCACAACCAAATCGGAAAAACTCGTTTGAGAGAAGTGTTGAGGAAGCGAGGAGGCAGTCTTGGGACAACAGAGCTCCGCGGCAGCAAAGACTAGACGAGGAGACAGGCAATGCTGGCAGGCCCAAGAGGAGCAGGGCGAACTCTGTGTGATGGGTAGATGTCACGGCACGACAGGTGGATACTATATATTACCCCACTTCCCATGCATACATACATACAAGGAATAGTAGCTCTTTTATTGGCGCATCGAGTGCCATTTCTCAATCGAAATTCTTCTTTTGTGTTCGATCACTCTCCCGCATGCTCCCTGGGCTTCTTGGTGCGACACTGCAGTGGGGGAGGCGTTTACTCACCAACCAGCATGGCTCTAGTACAATGGAAATCATTTCAATAAAACCGTCTCGTATTCAGATCTGTCTTCACAAAAGCCAACGAAAAGATGTGAGGCATTGGTAAAATTCGTTTCACGTGCTACTGCGGCGTGCTGAACGGCAGTTCGGCCCATGACTACCAGTCCGGGCCAGGTCGGCTTATGCTAAAGCCCCACACAGTGACGTGCCGCTAATCCATGCTTCCTTCGCGCGGTCGCTGCACACAAACTGCACTGCCCACGACCTTGTTCCCTTCCCATCCCACGTTCAACATTCACACGCTAGCTAGAGTTCAACACTCTGAGCCTTCTCGTTGGTCCGCATCCAAGAAGCGAGATTTGTGGCCACACAGAGACAAATCGGAATCTACAGCCGCGCCGGCGCATTCAGCTCCAACGCCCTGTAGTGCCGGACAGTCACTTGAACACGGCAGTTCACCCAGCGTTCAATTCTTGGCTGTCGCTGTGATATCAGTCGGGAGAACCCCTCACCTATCTGGTCTCCAGGCAACCTGCTTCCTATCCAGTTGCTCGCGTCCCAGCCAACATGGCTGATGTTAGCAACGGGCTCATGGCCGACGGTAGCCAGCTGCGAGAGCGGCCAAACGCCAAACCACTACATCTCAACAATGCAGACGATGCTAAGCAAAAGGTTCTGCAGTTGAACGACGAAGAAAATAAAAGGCACAAAGGTGATGCCAGCAAAAAGCGAACCTATGGAAGGACTCCAGATGGTACAGGTATGTCTCGCGTCGCTGAGAATGACCAGAAGAAACGGCCATTATCTTGCATACACGAGGAATCCCCCACTCTTTACAAAGCTGCTCACCAGTTCTAACTCTTCCAATGCAGTTTTCATTGTCCCCCAGACCCACGACATGGTCTCACAACTTCTCTCGCCCTCGCAACCTAAAAACCTGTCGGATTTAGCAGTCCTTGGTGTGCTCGCTTCCATGATTTTGACCTTCTTTGCACTGCCCAAAAGCGCCCGTATCCCCGTATTCGCAATAGTCTTCCTCTTCTGGCGCGCCGGCTATAATGCAGGCATTGGTTGGCTGCTCGATGGCCAGTCCAAGCACAACCGCCTCGTCTTGTGGGCGAAGCAGAGCCACATCTTTGAGAATCCCGAAACAGGCAAAAACCCACACCCGGCCCTGTACAAACTTCTCAAGCGTGAGCTGGAGATCAAGATCCCAGAGGATTACAAGTTTGAAGAAGCGCCGCTTGAGTACAACACATGGCTCGTGTTTAGACGTGTGGTAGACCTGATTCTGATGTGTGATTTCGTGTCATACTGCCTTTTCGCCATCGCCTGTTTCAACCGACCCCAGGAAAGCTGGTTCCTGTGGGCTCTGCGATGGACGACGGGCGTCGTCCTCTTCCTTTTCAACCTTTGGGTCAAGCTTGATGCGCACCGAGTTGTCAAGGACTTTGCATGGTACTGGGGTGACTTTTTCTACCTCATTGACCAAAGCCTGACATTCGACGGCGTTTTCGAGATGGCACCGCAGTAAGACCCTCTGTTGCGTCGTTGAACCAAAGACATACTAACGCGCTACCCCTGCACACAGCCCCATGTACTCGATCGGGTATGCCGGATACTATGGTATTGCCCTAATGACGGCAAGCTACAAAGTCCTAGCAATCTCCATCATCGCCCATGCTGCCCAATTTGCTTTCTTGTCCATCGTAGAGGAGCCCCATATTGAAGCGACGTACAATCCAGCTCCTCCCCGCCGCACGCGCCAAATTTCTGGGGAGGCTGCTCACGAAGATCGCCCCAAGACTGGTCAATCCGAACTCGGATTCGGCGACGCCGTCCACGACCCCTCTAAGCAACCTGCCCCAACGCACCACATTGTAGGACCTCTGAACACAGATTTCCATCGATCCATCGATGTCACGGTAGTACTGCTTTCGTTCTATATGATATGCTTGGCGGTGCTGACTCCAAACACGTGGACGGTGAAAGCATTTCTCTTCGTCAATGCTTTCGGATGGCGACTATGGTATGCATTGGGTCTAGGTTACATCCTGGACCGACAGTCCAAGAAGAAGAATTGGACCAAGCACTTCATCAAGTATGGCGATACCAAAGAAGAGGCCTGGCGCCAGTGGAAGTCCCTTTACCACATGAGCATGACGATGAGTCACGCAAGCTTTGTCGCACTTGCCTGGAAGATGTACAGTCTCCCTCCTGAAGGCTTGAGCGGGCTTGCGCTCTTTCGACACGTTCTTGGTGCTGCCATGATCGCTCTTCAGTTGTGGGTTGCTATGAGCATATACGAGTCGCTTGGAGAATTCGGATGGTTCTGCGGAGACTTCTTTTTCGATCCCCCTTCTAAATCGCTTACCTACAGTGGCATCTACCGCTTCCTGAACAATCCAGAGCGGGTTCTTGGGCTCGCTGGTGTCTGGGGTGTAGCCATCATAACATGGAGCCCTGCAGTCTTCTATCTCGCTACAACAGCCCATGTTCTCAACCTCGCGTTCCTGCAATTTGTAGAAAAACCACATGTGATCAAGGTAAGTTGTAAAATCGTATTGCACACCACATAGAGTTGCTATACCATCCCGACATCGGCCTGGACCAAGAGACTATGTGGAGCGCATCTGAATACAACCAGCCTGTATGACTTGCTAACTCTATCTTTCTAGTTGTACGGCCGCAACCTCCGCGAGATGTCAGGTGTCAGCAAGACTGTGCGTCAGGCGTTACCTGATCCAGTCCGCCAGTGGCAGTCGGCAGCCGACCAGTACATCAACTCGATGATGGAAAAGATTGAGAAATTCTTGGACGATACAAGACCAAAGATTGCTGCTGAATTCAGTACATTCGCCCAGAAGGTGACGAGTGTGTTCAATATTTCTCCGAGGCGGATTACTATCAGCCGGGCCTCACAAGACATGTCTGGTTTGGACCCCAGGCAATATAAGCTAGAGGTTGAAGGAACCTTGTTGCCGGCAACGGTTGAAAAGCAGAGGAATGGCGGCCGCGAAGGCGAGCTTGCCCGGATTCCAGCCGTACGGACGAATGATTTCAAGACGCTTGCGCTGGAATACGGTGCGCCCATCAAGGTTCGTTGGCAAGCTCCTCTAAATCACAGCAAAAAGGACTGGATTGGTCTATACATGGTCGCCGACAATCAGTCTCGCGAGGTTACACACATTAGCTCGAATGGACGATGGGTTGCTACCAACAGGGACATGTTTGACTCTGCTCGTGCCGACGATGGCATACTAGTCTCGGACAAGCTACAGCCTGCAAACGCTGCTGATGAAGAGGCATCCGACTGCTACACTGGCGAAGTGGAGTTCCGCGGAGACAAGCTTTGGTGGACGACTGGTGTGTTTGAGTTTAGGTACCATCACGACGGTGGACACCATGTCATGGCACTCTCGCAGGCCTTTGAGATTCAGATTCCAAAGTTTGACGAGGACGATGTGGAGGTGGACGAGAATGGAACGATGCATCGGGCTGTGGAAGTGGCACTTCTTCCCATTATCCAGAACTGCTTTGACCGCGACCCAGAGGTTGCGCCTTCGACGCCCGAGGAGCCTTTTGGCAGCCGGGTGGAGCGCCATGGCAAATTTGCTAAGCGCGTGGTCTTTGCCGTACATCAGATGTAAGTTGATGGCTGTCAATTGAGTTTTGCAAAGACAGGAGACTAATGATGGCCAGGTTTGGTATCGAGTTCGCACCTGAGGTTGTACAAGCGGATGGCACGGTTAGGAACCTTGCCTGGCGCATCTGCAATGCGAAGAAAGTTTTGGTAAGTCACTCGCGTGTTGGGTTGGTTGGAAAGGCATAGCTAATGCGATTCATTGTTAGGCCCCTTACAGCATGACTGCTACTCATGGCAGAAATACGCCGACATGACGAGTAGGGTGGTGAGAGATGCGCTGCAGCGTAACCATGGCCTTGGTCCGTTTTCATTGTTTCCTGTGTGGCAATCATGATATTTTTGGAGGGCGGATAGAGCATACACACAATTTATTTACGCCCGGCGGCCAAGCCGAAAGGGCTACGAACGCTAGTCTAGCTTTACACTTCCTATGCTCAGTCTTGGTCTCCCTAGCCCATATGTCTTCTTTAGCCCACATCTTTATATAGCTTATCGTCTAAATCTAAGCCCTTACTTAATACCTTGGCACGCCTCTTCTCTATCTACGATCGCTCCTCATCAAGTGCTCGTGGGTT